AAACTTCCTTGATGGTAGTCAGTCTTTAACAACCCATCGTCCAAAAAATGTTTCTACAACATGTCTGGTGTACTAGCTAGCGTTTGTTGAATTAAAGTAAGTGTCAAATATCTCAGACCATTGAATATTTATGAAACTTAAATATAGCCCTCACTCAAAGTATAAAGATGAACAAAGTTTATACGTTCTCGATAAAGTAAAATAGACGATAAAGTAGTCACACATTGAGCACAAGTTAAAATTTAATGTACAAAAAAATTCTTATTACTGTTCAGACAACAGGAAGTGGTGGATGTTGGTAAAATACAATTCTATGTTTCAGTATTGAGATAGAAAACAGTTTTAACACATTTCTCTTCAAATAGAGATGTAACCCTTTTAAATTTGGTGCTCAGGTTTATAAAAGTTCAAACAAGACAGCGGACTGTGTTACTGCTGGCTATAATTACTGAGAAAACCAAACAAACAACAAGTAATATCACATGCCTATTCCAAATTTTTCTGGAATAAAATGGGTTTAACTATTCATTTATTTATTTATTTATTTATTTATTTGTAGCTTCTCTTCATAAACGTGTGTGATGACAAGACAAATGTACAAACCAAAGTGAATACAAAGGAATGATAGTTCACTTCTACATTAAAATGATTGATTCTAACTATGATTACTGTAAAGAAAAAAAAAACGTTGCTTGTAGGAAATAGGCTGCTAGAACATTCAAGCTTTGAACAGAATCTTATATCTTGTTTTTTGTGTTGTATCTATTTAAGTTGCTATTAAGGTAATGTAATTTCTCTGAAACTAATATGTGAAAAACATGTGATCTGAAAGAACAAGAAAATAATTTCAATTTCAATTTCAATTTTATTTGTATAGCGCCAATTCATAACAGAAGTTATCTCAGGACACTTTTCAAATAGAGCAGGTCTAGACCGAACTCTTTAAAACATTAATTACAGAGACCCAACAGTACCACATGAGCAAGCACTTGGCGACAAGGGCAAGGAAAAACTGCCTGTTAAAAGGCAGAAACCTAAGACAGATCCTCCGGCTCTAGGTGGGTGGTCGTCTGTCTCGACCAGTTGGGGTGAGAGAGAGAGAGAGAGCGAGAGACAGACAGACAGGTGCACAGCAACAACAGTATTGGCAATGGCAATCTAGCAGGACCATGGCAGGAGGCTCCACCAGGATCGACAAGAACCTGCGAGACGAGAAAGCACAAGAACTCCGGGGAAGAAGTGAAGTTAGTAACATGCATTAATGGGACATGAATGAGTGCAGAAAGAGAGAGGAAGGGAGGAGCTCAGTGCACCATGGGAAATCCCCCGATAGTCTAGGCCTATAGCAGCATAACTAAGGGATGGTTCAGGACTCACCTGATCCAGCCCTAACTATAAGCTTTATCAAAGAGGAATGTCTTAAGCCTACTCTTGAATGTGGTGAGGGTGTCTGCCTCCCGAACCACAACTGGAAGCTGGTTCCACAGTAGAGGAGCTTGGTAACTGAAGGCTCTGGCTCCTGTTCTACTTTAAGAGACTATAGGAACCACAAGTAGCCCAGCATTTAGAGAACGTAGTGTTCTAGTGGGGTAATAGGCTACTATGAGCTCTTTAAGATATGAAGGGGCCTGACCATGAAGAGCTTTATAGGTGAGGAGGAGGATTTTAAATTCTATTCTACATTTTACAGGGAGCCAATGCAGAGAAGCTAGTACAGGAGAGATGTGATCTCTTTTTCTAGTTCCTGTCAGTACTCGTGCTGCAGCGTTCTGAATTAATTGGAGCGTTTTAATGGACTTATTGGGGCAACCTGATAATAAAGAGTTGCAGTAATCCAGCCTTGAAGTAACAAATGCATGGATTAGTTTTTCTGCATCTGTCTGTGATAGTATGTGTCTAATTTTTCTAATATTACATAAATGAAAGAAGGCAGTCCTAGAGGTCTGCTTTATGTGGGAGTTAAATGACAAATCCTGATCAAAGATAACTCCAAGATTCCTGACAGTGGTGCTAGAGGCCAAGTTAATGCCATCTAGAGTAACTATATCTTTAGACAGTGAGTCTCTAAGGTTTTTGGGGCCAAGAACAAGAATTTCGTTTTTTTCTGAGTTTAACATCAGAAAATTGCAGGTCATCCAGGATTTTATGTCCTTAAGACATGTTTGTAATTTAGATAATTGATTAATTTCATACTGCATGACAGTGAAAGTTAATGGAGTGATTCCTAATAATGTTGCCTAAAGGGAGCATATATAAAGTAAATAGTATTGGTCCAAGTACAGAACCTTGTGGAACTCCATGACTAACTGTAGTAGTAATTGAAGATTCATCATTAACATGTACCAACTGCAAGCGATCTGATAAATATGACTTAAACCAGCTTAGTGCGGTTCCTTTATGCCAATTTGATGCTTAAGTCTCTGTAAAAGAATATTATGGTCAATGGTGTCAAATGCAGCACTAAGATCTAATAATACAAGTACAGAGACAAGTCCATTGTCAGAAGCAATCAGAAGGTCATTATTAACTTTAACCAGAGCTGTCTCTGTGCTATGATGAACTCTAAATCCTGACTGAAAATCCTCTTTGGCTCTCTTTGGCGACTACTTTCTCCAGAATCTTAGAGAGGAAGGGAAGGTTAGAAATCGGTCTATAGTTGGCTAAAACCCCTGGGTCAAGAGTTGGCTTTTTAAGAAGGGGTTTAATTACAGCTACTTTAAAGGACTGTGGTACATATCCTGATAATAAAGAAAGATTAATCATATCCAGTAAAGAAGTGCCAATTAAGGGAACAACTTCTTTAAGCAGCCTAGTTGGGATCGGGTCTAATAGACAGGTTGATGGCTTCGATGAAGAAATGATTGAAGTTAACTGAGGAAGATCGATAGCAGAAAAACAGTCTAAATATATATCTAAGTTTACATTGACATAAGTACCTGAACTTGGAGAGCCACTGATAACTGTTGATGGCAGTTGGTGATCTCTCTAATAGTAATAATTTTATTATAGAAGAAGCTCATGAAGTCATTGCTACTTAAGTTTATGGGGATATGTGGCTCAATAGAGCTGTGACTCTCTGTCAGCCTGGCTACAGTGCTGAAGAGGAACCTAGGGTTATTCTTATTTTCTTATATTTGTGCTGAGTAATAGGCTCCTCTGGCATTACGGAGGGCCTTTCTATAAATTTTAAGATTATCTTGCCAAATTGAGCGATATTCTGATAATTTGGAAGAGCGCCATTTCCTTTCAGATTTCCTAGCTATTTGTTTTAACTGGCGGGTTTGGTGGTTATACCAAGGTGCTAGTCTCCTATGTTTTAATAATTTCCTTTTTATAGGAGCGATAGAGTCTAATGTTGATCGTAGTGAGCCTGTAGCACTATCGACAAGATTATCAATTTCAGAGGGACTAAAGTCGTTATAGGATTCTGTTAAATTCAGACATGGCATTGATTAAACACTGAAGGAATCTCCTCCTTAAATTTAGCTACAGCACTGTCAGATAGACATCTGCTGTAGGAAGTTTTGCCTAATGGCTTATAATCTAATAGTATGAATTCAAAAGTTATTAAATAATGGTCAGATAGGAAAGGATTATGTGGGAAGACTATTAAATGTTCAATATCAATGCCATATGATAAAACAAGGTCAAGAGTGTGATTAAAACAATGAGTTGGTTTATTTACACTCTGACAGAAGCCAATTGAGTCTATTAATGATATAAATGCATTACTAAGGCTGTCATTGTCAACATCCACATGAATATTAAAATCACCTACAATAATTACTTTATCTGATTTAAGGACTAAACTTGATAGAAACTCTGAGAATTCAGATATAAAATCAGAGTACGGTCCAGGAGCGCGGTACACTATAACAAATAGAACTGGCTGCAATGTTTTCCAGTTTGGGTGAGAAAGACTAAGAACAAGGCTTTCAAATGAATTATAATTTAGTTTAGGTTTAGGGTCCATTAAAACGCTTGAATCATATATGGCTGCTACTCCACCTCCTCGGCCAGTGCCTCGAGGAATGTGAGTATTAATATGACCCGGTGGGGTGGATTCATTTAGCCTAACATACTCCTCGTGGGACAACCAGGTCTCAGTAAGACAAAGTAAATCAATATCATAATCTGATATTAATTCATTCACTAAAACAGCTTTAGAGGACAGAGACCTGATATTTAACAGCCCACATTTCATTCTCATGCTCACATGTACAGTTATCCATTCCAGTTTTCCATCTGTACCATGTTCAACTTTATTGTATATAGTGTATATATTTTTTTATATTATAGACTTCTATTGTATTTTCAGAGCCGGTTTAACATGCTAAATGGGACCAATAAATGATTTAATATATGAATCACATTCTAACTGAAATAATTGAAAATGCTAGCTCTTAAATCTGATATTAATCTGATAAATATTTTTCTACTAACCTGCCTTGTTGACTTTGGAGCTCTACAATGCGTTTCCTTAAAGCAGACACAAGAAAGAGTCAAGCTACCAAACAAACAAACAAACTAAAAATAATATGATGTGGTTGTAGTTTTCTGCACCTGCAAACAGACAGAATTTATATAAGAGCCATTGTTTCTCCATACTGCACAAATATATTCAGTATAGAATCTTTAAAATAAAGGACAATCTTGATTGGCTGTCTTTGCAGATCATTGTAGGTTTTGGAGGATCAGCTATAAATGAAAAGAGATAAAAGTAAGAGGCAAATCAATGTCACATAAAAAATTGGTATATATTTATAAATGCTTGGAAAGTTGGTGACATACTGAACATCCTAAACTCGACACACTGCTCAACAAAGGAGAACTTGTCAGTGGTGGATGTATCAGTCAATGTTTTTGCTAACTCAATCCGGAAACAGAAAGGGCCGTTGTCATGGTCTTTAATGTCAATGATTTCTAAGGTGCAGTTGTTCTGACCCAAAGCTCCCAACAACTTTGTGCGACCCCTAAAGCTGTCAAAGACTAGTGTGCTATCCTCGTGAGAGATACGTTCTTGTTGACCGGTTGAACGATGCCAGACTCCTCTGAGCCTGGACGTGGGCAGGGGTCTTCTAGGATGGTTGAATGGACAGGGTACTACAACACAGGATGAAATCAGGGCATCAAGACGTTCTTTACAACATCAGCCTTCCATTCTTCAGTAAACACAGGGCTGCTGAGAGCTGAAAGGGAGTGAGTGACAAAGAAAAAGATACATTGTAGGAGTTCTCTTTCAAATATTTGGAAGTGGAGTGTAAATAGGATTGAGATTGGAAACAAAGAGGTGACTAATTATGTTACCTGCCAAGAACAGACAGAATATCATCATCTTCCTCTCTTTGTCCATTATACTTCTCCAAAACTGCATTTCTGGTCCTCCAGCCCACGACCACATGTCAAAAACATAATATAATCCATATCTATAGAAAGATGATTTTTGTTAAGTATGATGTTAGTAATGGAAGATCACAATACGAGCAGTGGCCTCAAGACAATCTGAGTTTGGGACGTTCATCATACAGGCTATAGACTCAGGCTTCAGGCTACCAGAAAAAATGAAAATGACAGAGGAATAATATGTAGATATAACCTATTTTGTGGTTGTGTAAATATATGCTTTTTCACCTTCAGAAGGTTTAGGTTTTAAATAAAAATTGCTGAAAGAATGTTTTTTTTTTATTATTGTTTTTCAAAACAATAGCCTGTGACTTTAATACACTGAACAAAATTATAAATGCAACACTTTTGTTTTTGCCCCCATTCATCATGAGCTGAACTCAAAGACTTTCTCTATGTACACAAATGGCCTATTTCTCTCAAATATTGTTCACAAATCTGTCAAAATCTGTGATAGTGAGCACTTCTCCTTTGCCGAGATAATCCATCCACCTCACAGGTGTGGCATATCAAGATGCTGCTCAGACTTATAAACCTAAGGTTTCCTCACTGCGTGACTTCCGGTCATCAAAACGACCCACTGTTTATTGCTCCAGAAAACCAGTCTGGAACTGGTGAGCACACCTAATCAATTCGCCTCCGCTAACAGGGATAGAGACTAACTTGGGCTGGCCAGTATGAATAACTTATTAAAACTCCTTACCGTTGGGGGGAATTCGAAGTGAAGGTTGGCTCTTAACTGCGGTGAAGATGGGAAAGAAAAGTCGGAGCTCCCCGGTGGAGTTCATGGTGGAAGCCATCTGCCATTAATAGAGAACAGGAAAGTGCCACTTACACAAGCTATAGTTTATAACTATTCAGTTTCATTGTATAGTACAACAATATTAATCAGAATCAGAATGAGACTTTCACTTTTATTGGTCAGGAATTTGACTCCAGTTTAATGTTGCTCTCACGCAGAATAAGCATAAATAAACAAGCTCAAAAAAATAGACATACACCTCTATGTACAATTATATATATGCATATATATAAACAAATAATAATATTTATAGACAGTAGAAAGAGTGCAAAGGATGCTGGAATAAATATGTATGTGCAGGTTTCTTTCTGTACATGAGGTAGGTGGATATGACAGTAGATGTGTTTGAATTATTGTATTTATGTTCGTTTTTTTAATAAAGTAAATGGTTTACATGTACAGTGGATGTTAGAGTCCCAGGGTTATTGAACAGGGATCTTTCCTGACTCTGTGTGTGTGTGAGGTTAACTGTTCATCAGAGCAATGGCCTGTGGGAAACTGTTCCTGTGTCTGTTTGTGTTGGTGTACAGTGCTCTGTAGCGCCTACCAGAGGGGAGAAGTTGGAACAGGTTGTGTCCATGGTGTGATCTGCAGTGATGTTTCCTGCTTCCTGCAATGTGGATAGTAGTATCTCAAATACATATACATAACTAAACAAAAAAAAAACTAGGTGTGAAAAAACATACTATTTAACTGAAATAAAAACATTAAGTAGACTTTAGAAGAAAGACTGACTCTTTTAACAGAATCGGTTCCTTCGAGTTTATACACGTAAATATACTAGACCTTTCGAGTCTTTATACTATTTGCAAAATATGGCGTCACACATACCTCTACACTAGCTTCCAGTTGTTGCAGTCTAGCCCAACATTGTTTATTTTATTTGCATGTTTATCTAATTTGATGAGATAGATTCATCTAATTTATGTATTAACTGTACTATTTACCCCATTCCCCTTTATTCCTTATTATTACTTTAATACTTGCCTACACTTTTCATCGCTACGCTTAGGAAAGGTGTATCGTTATCACAAGAGATTGTTGCATTTTTTCCGCTGACCAGCACCTTTGCAACTGCTATTGCATCTTGAAAACATATCAGCAGTGATGAGACAATATTTATTTATCTCACTAGGTTGCTAGTTCAATGAAATCAATTTGTCAGAAATAAATCAAAAACACAAATAACACAGCTTTGACAAAATTTATGGGAGAAATCAGAGGATCCCTTTGTGAACCAATATCTCTGTATTTCCTTCACTATACCCCCTTTTGACACATGGTCTTTCCCATGTATCTTAGGAAAGTAGGGAAATAGGTATTTTGGCATTGCCCTGTGAGATAGAATCAAGGTTGTTAGTGTGTCTTCTGGTGTAAATCTGGCCGGGGAGAGCAAGATTCAGTTATTACTGCAACACATTCATGCGGCTGTATATCACCTGAAGTTGGGAGAAGAGTAGCAGAGTTAATGACAGTGCATCTTTTAACTGTGATGTTTGGCATGTCAATCAGTGTTGTACCTGAGCCACCTTGCTGTTGAAAGATGAGAAGGTTTTTTGTTCAAGCTAAATAATTGACACTTTATGTGGAACCGGTAAAGTCTGGTCAGCGTAACCTACAATGTCACGTAATGCTATCACAACCTGCATTGCTGCTACAGAGTCAAGTTTTGTTGAGAGGTATTCTACAGGTCTCTGTAATCCCCCGTGGTCCTGCATCAGTATGTTTGTCAATAGTCTGTATGAATGGTTTGTTACAGTTTTTTTACATGGAACAATCACTCCAACCTTTAGGAGAGATACACAAACAGTTTAATGCCATCATTCAAACCTTTTTTGTTAAAGGATATTGATTTTGACAAGGCCTGTATGAGGATGTTTTTGTGTTATCACAACTGGCACTGCTACTTTAATTAGACCTACATCAGACTTTTTGTGTGCCCACAAGCATGATTGAAGGTGACTTAGCGTTTGAGGCAGGCCTCAATAGACAACTGATGAAAACTGCCGCCATCAGTGCTGCCACCCAGAATCGTGAGGTCGAGGGAAGCAAAATCCTGGAGGGCAAGGATATCCCAAAGTGCTGTGCTTTGCTGACGTGAATCTGAGCTATTGGAACTTAAATGTACATTGATAGTGACAGTCTGTTGCTGTTTGTGACAGTTTTTCCTATAATGTGTAAAAAAGACTGCAGGACCTTGAGAAGATTGGTGGCCATGTATGGGACAATTTAAATTTGTGTTGTTATTGTTTTCCAAGTTTTAAATATTGTGTGTTCAAACACTGTTAAACTGCAGTTCAAAATAACACATACACAATACAAACAGTTTTTTTTATCAAATTAATTAATTTCTTACATAAACAAAATTAAAAAGTGTGTGTCAACTTAAAAACCATCATTGAAGTTATTAAGTACATGACACTTAAAATGCCTTTTAGATAAAAAACGTTTTATGCTACCAATTATTAAGTAGGTGGTAATTAAAAATACCTTTCATTGTAGAGAAAAAGCTAAGTCACCTTACTTAATATAGTTCATTGGTTAAATAATAAACTCATTCTATGTTGTCACAACTCAAAATGATAGATGGAAACTGTTGCATTAATTCTATTACTGCTATTTTTAGCCATGAATAACATTCTATGTGAATCACAAGAGACAGAAAAATAATGTAATATATTATATACAGAAAAAAAGCAATATTTTTAACAATTTTCTTGACCAACATCAGTTAGACAACATGCAGAGGGACTGAAGCTGTTCCTCCACTGAATTCAACGATGTTACATGTTGGCGTATACTGCATCATCGTCAGCCTGTAAAGGAAACATGATTAACTCATCCTGTTTTTTCATGCATGGAAATAATGAATGAATGAAGAAATCTTTATATACCTTCATGTTGCCATATACAGGATCATTGGCATAAATGCCAGGGCAATGCACATCATCATAGTTCTCTTTTGTGAGGACAGAACGCAGAAAACAAACATGTTTAACAAATGTACCGCCTAAACACACACAAGGTTATGCAATATCAGCTTCCTTGTGTCATTTAACATCATGGGCAAACTTTCTTTTAAACTGAGGTGAACAACTAAAACCTTTTTGTTGCAGCATACTGAGAGAGCTCCACATCTTTTTCTGCCTGCATGGTTTTCATGTGCGATGTTGGTTCCTCTCCAGATCTCCCCCTACTGGCAGAGTGACGTTTTTGAATTTAGGACTCTGAAAAGAGCTATTGACACTTTGCACAACCACTGAAACCCAACCATGCAAACTGCAGCATTGAACACATGCTATCATACCCTTTATACATTTGCAAGCTGACTTTCTGCACCCATCAAAGTGATGTAGTTGTACTATTATTATTAGACCCATTTCCACCAAATACCTCCACATGCACGACTTATATTCCTTTCTGGTGTCTGTTTACCACTGCATTTTTAAAAATTCACACTTAAAATGTCCTATGTCACCCAGATTTGAATGCTGTAGTAAAAATAAACTGAAAACACAAACATAAACACTTTGAATATCAACTTACCATTTTTTAACAACTCCCACTGCTGTTAAAAGTATCACCAAAATTGCACCTGCTCCAATGGCGATGATAATATAAAGACTCTGCATCCTACCTGTCCAAACAGGAACCACGTGGTGTCATTTTTCTCTTTCTCAGTATACAATTCATGCCAACATCCTTTTTATAGGCCTATGTCATGCACATGTCATGCTTTCTTTAAATAGTAAAAACCTCCTTACTGTTAACAGGTAGAGCTGACTCGTGCTCAACCCTCACATTCACTGGGGCGTCTGCACAGAAACATACAATTGATAATACCACAGTGTTTTTTACAGACAAATGTTTACATTTTGTACTCTTTCACAAAGTAATGTCAAAGCTGAGCTGTCTACAGCTATGTTAGCAGCTCTGTGAGGCTTCACTTAGGCACAGCGGTGGTTTGACCTAATGCTACCGCTAGCATTGCAACATGCTCTTATTGACAATGATAGAGGCAATAAGAGAGACAGGGAGGGGGAAAGAGAGAGGGGACGGCATGCGGCAAAGTTGCTGGAATCAAACACGGACCAGTGCAGTAAGCACTCAGCCTTAGTACATGGGGCAGGCACTCTACCAGGATAACTTCCAGGGGTGAGTTTATTTTTTTTTAATTGTCATCTTTATTCCCCCTAACCCCTAACCCTGTTAAAAGTATCACCAAAATTGCACCTGCTCCAATGGCGATGATAATATAAAGACTCTGCATCCTACCTGTCCAAACAGGAACCATGTGGTGTCATTTTTCTCTTTCTCAGTATACAATTCATGCCAACATTCTTTATATAGGCCTTTGTCATGCACATATCATGCTTTCTTTAAATGGTAAAACCTCCTTACTGTTAACAGGTAAAAAGAGTGTGACGTTGGCATTGCCCTGCGTATTGTTTGCCTGACAGAGGACAAACGCAGAAGATCCCAGCTCTGCTTGCAGAGTCCCGATGGTAACAGAGTCATGTTTCTCTACCTTGGTGCTTGGCAGGACTCTGTCAGAAAGCACAAAGTGGACCATGCTGGGAGGCCTGGACTCAACAATGCACACACACTTTACCATATCTCCCTCTGAGGAGCAGGAGGATATAGCCTTAATCTCAGGAGCATCTGTAAGGACAAGAAATGCAGTTGTGAGTTAGCCATACTCCGGTTATATATGTTTAAATAAAAGTTCTCTTTTTAATCAGGACTTTCTTTCAACTGTTTACTTACATAACACATTGAGCTGCACAAGGCTTGAATTGCCTCGTCCTACTTCATTGATGGCAGTACAGTACAAGGTGCCTGAGTGGTGTCTGGAGACATTTGGCAGCCTGAAGACGTTGCCCTGATGCAGTCGAGCACCAGTTTCATTGTACCACTCATAGCTGCTGGCAGGAGGGTGAGCATCACTGGAGCACGTCAGCTGCACTGTTTCTCCTTCCTTTACAGCTGACTCGTGCTCAACCCGCACATTCACTGGGGCGTCTGCACAGAAACATACAATTGATAATACCACAGTGTTTTTCACAGACAAATGTTCACATTTTGTACTCTTTCACAAAGTAATGTCAAAGCTGAGTTGTCTACAGCTATGTTAGCAGCTCTGTGAGGCTTTACTTAGTAGTGATGGGTCGGTCGCGAAAGAGCCGGCTCTAAGAGCCGGCTCTTTGAAGTGAACGACGTGAGCCGGATCCAGATTTTTTTAGCGTTTCTTTCTCTTAAAGCCGCGTGATTGGTCAAGATTTGTGGTAGCATCTGTGTATCTACACACACTGGGGGGGGTACAGACACACACGGCACAGTGAGCACGTGGACACGAAGGAGGGAGACGTGAGTGAGTGAGAGAACGTGGCACTACATAGACAGAGACTACACACTGGAAAGGGTGAGGAAAATTAGTGACAGGAAACGTAAAGTTTGGACTCATGTTAATGTGATAGACTTTACAAAGGCAGAGTGTAGACTGTGCAAAGTAAAAAATTTCATATCAAGCAGCTTTTTGTCTAATTGAGATGGGTCTTTGTTTTTGTATTATCATTTATTTTTGTAGCGCTCTATTCCATGTTGAGTATATTAATAAATCCATATAAATAATAAGCATTTGATATAATGTATGTATTTACATTAGATATAAATTTTACACATAATTTGGTAATAAATTAATTTAAGCAACAAAAATCTGAGGAGCCACTTGGGAGCCAAAAGAGCCCACTCTTTTTAGTGAGCCGAGCCAAAGGAACCGGTTCTCTAAAAAGAGCTTGAATTCCCATCACTATTACTTAGGCACGGCGGTGATTTGAGCTAAATGCTACCGCTAGCATTTTAACATGCTCTTATTGACAATGATAGAGGCAATAAGAGAGACAGGGAGGGGGAAGAGAGAGAGGGGACGGCATGCAGCAAAGGTGCTGGAATCAAACACGGACCAGTGTAGTAAGAACTCAGCCTTATTACATGGGGCGGGCACTCTACCAGGTGAGCTTCCAGGGCATCCCAGCTGATCAGAAAATTATTAGTTCAGCTATTTTCCTGCTTTCTGGCCCCAGTGAGTTTTTTTTTTTTTTTAATGTCATCTTTATTCCCCCTAACCCCTAACCCTGTTAAAAGTATCACCAAAATTGCACCTGCTCCAATGGCGATGATAATATAAAGACTCTGCAGCCTACCTGTCCAAACAGGAACCACGTGGTGTCATTTTTCTCTTTCTCGGTATACAATTCATGCCAACATTCTTTATATATGCCTATGTCATGCACATATAATGCTTTCTTTAAATGGTAAAACCTCCTTACTGTTAACAGGTAAAAAGAGTGTGACGTTGGCATTGCCCTGCGTATTGTTTGCCAGACAGAGGACAAACGCAGAAGATCCCAGCTCTGCTTGCAGAGTCCCGATGGTAACAGAGTCATGTTTCTCTACCTTGGTGCTTGGCAGGACTCTGTCAGAAAGCACAAAGTGGACCATGCTGGGAGGCCTGGACTCAACAATGCACACACACTTTACCATATCTCCCTCTGAGGAGCAGAAGGATATAGCCTTAATCTCAGGAGCATCTGTAAGGACAAGAAATGCAGTTGTGAGTTAGCCATACTCCTGTTATATATGTTTAAATAAAAGTTCTCTTTTTAATCAGGACTTTCTTTCAACTGTTTACTTACATAACACATTGAGCTGCACAAGGCTTGAATTGCCTCGTCCTACTTCATTGATGGCAGTACAGTACAAGGTGCCTGAGTGGTGTCTGGAGACATTTGGCAGCCTGAAGACGTTGCCCTGATGCAGTCGAGCACCAGTTTCATTGTACCACTCATAGCTGCTGGCAGGAGGGTGAGCATCACTGGAGCACGTCAGCTGCACTGTTTCTCCTTCCTTTACAGCTGACTCGTGCTCAACCCGCACATTCACTGGGGCGTCTGCACAGAAACATACAATTGATAATACCACAATGTTTTTCACAGACAAATGTTCACATTTTGTACTCTTTCACAAAGTAATGTCAAAGCTGAGTTGTCTACAGCTATGTTAGCAGCTCTGTGAGGCTTTACTTAGTAGTGATGGGTCGGTTGCGAACGATCCGGCTCTAAGAGCCGGCTCTTTGAAGTGAACGACGTGAGCCGGATCCAGATTTTTTTAGCGTTTCTTTCTCTTAAAGCCGCGTGATTGGTCAAGATTTGGGGTAGCATCTGTGTATCTACACACACTGGGGGGGGTTACAGACACACACGGCACAGTGAGCATGTGGACACGAAGGAGGGAGACGTGAGTGAGCGAGAGAACTTGGCACTACATAGACAGAGACTACACACTGGAAAGGGTGAGGAAAATTAGTGACAGGAAACGTAAAGTTTGGACTCATTTTAATGTGATAGACTGTACAAAGGCAGAGTGTAGACTGTGCAAAGTAAAAAATTTCATATCAAGCAGCTTTTTGTCTAATTGAGATGGGTCTTTGTTTTTGTATTATCATTTATTTTTGTAGCGCTCTATTCCATGTTGAGTATATTAATAAATCCATATAAATAATAAGCATTTGATATAATGTATGTATTTACATTAGATATACATTTTACACATAATTTGGTAATAAATTAATTTAAGCAACAAAAAATCTGAGGAGCCACTTGGGAGCCAAAAGAGCCCACTCTTTTTAGTGAGCCGAGCCAAAGGAACCGGTTCTCTAAAAAGAGCTTGAATTCCCATCACTATTACTTAGGCACGGCGGTGATTTGAGCTAAATGCTACCGCTAGCATTTTAACATGCTCTTATTGACAATGATAGAGGCAATAAGAGAGACAGGGAGGGGGAAAGAGAGAGGGGACGGCATGCAGCAAAGGTGCTGGAATCAAACACGGACCAGTGTAGTAAGAACTCAGCCTTATTACATGGGGCGGGCACTCTACCAGGTGAGCTTCCAGGGCATCCCAGCTGATCAGAAAATTATTAGTTCAGCTATTTTCCTGCTTTCTGGCCCCAGTGAGTTTTTTTTTTTTTTTAATGTCATCTTTATTCCCCCTAACCCTGTTAAAAGTATCACCAAAATTGCACCTGCTCCAATGGCGATGATAATATAAAGACTCTGCATCCTACCTGTCCAAACAGGAACCACGTGGTGTCATTTTTCTCTTTCTCGGTATACAATTCATGCCAACATTCTTTATATATGCCTATGTCATGCACATATAATGCTTTCTTTAAATGGTAAAACCTCCTTACTGTTAACAGGTAAAAAGAGTGTGACGTTGGCATTGCCCTGCGTATTGTTTGCCAGACAGAGGACAAATGCAGAAGATCCCAGCTCTGCTTGCAGAGTCCCGATGGTAACAGAGTCATGTTTCTCTACCTTGGTGCTTGGCAGGACTCTGTCAGAAAGCACAAAGTGGACCATGCTGGGAGGCCTGGACTCAACAATGCACACACACTTTACCATATCTCCCTCTGAGGAGCAGAAGGATATAGCCTTAATCTCAGGAGCATCTGTAAGGACAAGAAATGCAGTTGTGAGTTAGCCATACTCCTATTATATATGTTTAAATAAAAGTTCTCTTTTTAATCAGGACTTTCTTTCAACTGTTTACTTACATAACACATTGAGCTGCACAAGGCTTGAATTGCCTCGTCCTACTTCATTGATGGCAGTACAGTACAAGGTGCCTGAGTGGTGTCTGGAGACATTTGGCAGCCTGAAGACGTTTCCCTGATGCAGTTGAGCACCAGTTTCATTGTACCACTCGTAGCTGCTGGCAGGAGGGTGAGCATCACTGGAGCATGTCAGCTGCACTGTTTCTCCTTCCTTTACAGCTGACTCGTGCTCAACCCGCACATTCACTGGGGCGTCTGCACAGAAACATACAATTGATAATACAACAGTGTTTTTTACAGACATATGTTCACATTTTGTACTCTTTCACAAAGTAATGTCAAAGCTGAGCTGTCTACAGCTATGTTAGCAGCTCTGTGAGGCTTTACTTAGGCACAGCGATGGTTTGAGCTAAATGCTACCGCTAGCATTCCAACATGCTCTTATTGACAATGATAGAGGCAATAAGAGAGGCAGGGAGGGGGAAAGAGAGAGGGGACGGCATGCGGCAAAGGTGCTGGAATCAAACACGGACCAGTGTAGTAAGCACTCAGCCTTAGTACATGGGGCGGGCACTCTACCAGGAGAACTTCCAGGGCATCCCAGCTGATCAGAAATGCATTCATTTAGCTATTTTCCTGCTTTCTTGCCCCAAGTTCTTCTAATTCTTTAAAAATATTCAGATTCTTTTCATCGTCTTTTTAACTGTGAGGCACTTACGAGCATCATCTTTTATTGTCACATACTTACATTTTACTTTGAGGACTTTGGATGTTTCATGCTCCTGCCCTCCCTTGTATCTCACAGTACACTGTAAAGGCTTGTTGTGATCGGCTCTGGTGGGATGGAAGGTCAGATTAGATTTTGCTTTCCACTGACCATTTTCAAGCTGCTGTTCTTGGAAAAGTGCCTCTCCAGAGTGATTCCAGGTGAAGACGGGAGGAGAGGAGGGGCAGGAGTGAGACACAGAGCAAGACGCAAACTCAGTCTGACCCTCCACTACCTCCTCTTTCACAGAGAAATGTATCGGATTTAGTTCACCTGTGACAACAAGAAAGAAGGAAAATTCTTTTTTCACTCTTTCATTTTTAAACACACACATAGGTCCCTAAATAAAATCATGCACACGCTCCAGTTACCACTGAGCTACTGCCGCCCCAAAAGGCCAGGCAAAAAAAAAAATCTACTGTATTTCAGGTAGAGCACTTAGTCTACTGGCCTGTTAAAAGCTATATTGTGTCTTTTAAAACTATGTATTCTGACCTCACTTGTAGAAGCACTTTAGTTGACAAAAATGGAAAAAAGGACCTTGAAAATCCTAAATCAAGAGACTGCTGACATAACAAAAACAACACAGTAACTGACTTGAGTTATTTTTGACTTCATCTATCTCATATATTACCCTTAGTCAGTTCCGGTTAGAAATATATAATAGTCCTGAAAAGATGAACAACTTAACTTGCTTTGTTTCCACAAAGGTAATTCTACCTAATCAAACTAATTCTCATCATAGTCACATCACAAATTCAAAGAAGAATTTCTGTCTGATTTCAAGTTTTAGGATATATTTAGGACATTTAGTCACAGGAAATGCAAAATGTTAGTCAGTTACCTTGACACTGGCTACTATCGTCTACAAAACAAGACAGCAGGCACTTTCTGATGACAGTTTGAAATACGGGAGCTGCAGGCGGCTTGCAGTGTACCACCAACCTCTCACCCAGGTAACCAAAGTTACTTTCATGGTCGCTGTTCACACACCATGTGCAGCATAAACAAATCAGATTATGGTTGCTCACAGAATGATGGTAAAGAGCCAATTATTGTCTGACTACTATCAAAACAACAATAGTTCATTTTGCTGTCTTCAGTGTTCTGGGATCAGCACAGTAACAGTGCCACTACACGATGGCGGTCAGAAAACTTCCATTACTCTGATTTTAACAAACATAGCTGGAATTTAATCGTGGACAGCAGGCTACAAGCGACAACAACCTAATTAAGCTTGTAGCTGAATATGCAGTGGATGAAATGTTTGACTCAGTCATTTCAGACAGATTCTTGGGAAAGTAATGGCCGGCGACAGGAGACTCTCAGGTAAAAAATAACTTGCAAAATGGACTATGTCTCTAAATAAGAGAAGTTGTTTAAAAGAATGTGTCTTGTCATCAGTTTGAGCAAGGTGTGCTTTTCATCTAGATTGCAATTTTTATGGATTCATGCACATAAGAGGTAGAGAAGTGTGTACTGTAACTAATGTTGGCCGATAGTAATAAGAAAATAATATTTTTTTTAGTAATGAGCCCAACATTGTTAAGGACTGACTTATTAATGTTATTAACGTATTTCTGAATAATGTTCAGAATGTCAAAAGGAAAACATCAAGGGAACAACATTAGAATTAAAAACACTTCTGGGAAAATGCAGGCATTAACTGTACTTTTAAAGATGTTTGTTGAAAATGTTACTTACTCATCATTGTAATAGAGACTGTGTTCTCTCTGTAAGAATATTTGTCCAAGTTTTGTATTTCAATCCTGAAATGAAAAGGTCCTGTATCACTTTGTTGAAGGGGATCAATCTTAAGTGAACAGTTCTTCTGCCCAACGTCTCCGATCAGCTCTGCCCGATTCTGATACTGCTTCATCACTTTAGACTTATCTGGGTGATAGAAGATCTGATTTGTTGCATCAGTCCACATCCCTGTGAATCCAGTGAGTGTCTTCCCTGAAGGATTTGGGAAGTTAAATGAGCAGGGGATCACCACACAGGATCCAGGGAGACCTTTAACTGAGGATGGCACCTTAATTGTCCAAGGTGAGCTATCAGTTTGAATAACTGTAATACAACACAAAAGAAAATACACAAAGACATAAAGCTGACAGTTTAATTGTACTTTTTGTCATATACAGTGTAGAGAATGTTACATACCGTGGATGTTTAGGTACACCAAAAACAGAGTCCATTTTAAAGAATCCATCTTGTCCTCTCAGGGTCAGACCTGCAAATAAAGTGACAAGGCTTGTGCTGTACCAATGTAATTTCCTCCTATTGTGAAATGACTTATAGTTTCCATTCCACTTTTAACACACCATACATGCACTCTTTGGTCTGCACACACTTTTGTCACATCAGACGTACGTTGGGGAAGTGTTTTTTAAACGTGTCTTGTGCTGTGAACTGTTCCCGCGATACTACTGCCATAAACCATACCAAAAAGGGAAAGGAGCTATATTAGCTCTTTTTTATTATTATTTTTGCTTTAAATCTCTTAACTTTATTTCAACTTGTGCCGTCCTGTTGCTCTCACTTCCTTCTTCTGATATTAAGGAATCTTTCTTAGACATCACAAGTTCTCCAATTTTATTTTTGTAGGGCATGTTAACCACTCCATGAAACCTAGAGTCCTTGAACTCATCACCAATCCCCCAAACAAATGAATTACTCCCTTGTTATTCAGGTCGTATAAAGCATTATCCCCCTTGACTTGCTGTAAGTACTTTAAATACTGCTAATGGGCCCTTCCTTAGTACGAGTCTACTCTGAGTTGGAATATGCACAACAGTACTTTGTATAGCTGTTGGAATATCACTTTTTAAAATCATTTGTTAATGATAAAATAGTTTGGTGTCATTTGTTAACATGTTCTACTTTATTATTGGCACAGACTGTGAATGTGCTTGTTCTTTTAAGGTGAACAAAGTCATCAGGAAACCACAGTGACCAACGACCACGGACATGTTCACTTGGAGATGTGAGAACAATTCATAATTTTTTATTTTTTTATGAGTATTTTTTTTGCCTTCTATTATAGTGACAGCTCAAGACAGACAGGAAAGGGGGGCAGAGAGTGGGAATGACACGCAGCATATTGAGAAGCCAAAACAGAATAAACTGAAAAGTTGAATGTATTTGTATAACAAGCTTGCTTAAAGGGTAGTTACAAACAATGTAATATACAACGATATAAGATCCATGTTATACAAATATGGCACATTTTCTTGAGCAGCAACTGCTGACTGAAAGCAATGACATGTAACTCATTGAAAAGTACATAGTGTTTACTTTAGTCAATTGTTTATGCAAACACATGTATCACAACCAAATTATTTAGTAAGTTCAGTTAATTATTAGTTAGTTAATTAACTAAGCTGAAAATTATCTACCAGAAAATTACATTTACTGTACCTTACACATCGTGTATCACAGGTGCAGAGACACAGAGACTGAATTTCCGTTGCTCTGTTGATGCAGCTAATAAAGTAACATGATTGGATGTCTCGTGTTATTTCTGCTTGTGCTGCTAATATATGAGCAGTGGAAGTGTTTAACATGTTTGACTCATCACACACAGAGCAAAAAAAAGAAGAAAACATATTAAGTTTTGTTTTCATTTCTCCAAAAAGTGACCTATCTTATTGTGCATTAGTTCTTACTTCCTGTTCATGGGTTCACACCTTTAGTCTTGTGGTGAGAGATGAACTGTTGTAGCAGAGGCCTTCTATAAAATACCTCTCACATACAGGGGTTTGTTTGCAGTTACTCCTTCAAACATCACACATCTTAGAGGGTTGCTGAGTTGTTGCGTAGATTAAATTGTCCACAGTGAATTCAGTCATTCATGGACTCTGATCTCCAACAAAAGCAGGGTTCAGCACTTCACCCCTGTTTGGATGAAAACCGTTGCTGTCTTGGGCAGCTAGGTCGACGTAACAGATGCTGCGAGTCAGGTGGACCTTTTTAACAGATAAACTTTTCTTTCTTTTAACTCTCCAGAGATCCTCTTCGTACTGCGTCAAGAAGTCCTTCAGCTTGACTGTGTCCTCTTTCTGGCACCCCCAGGATAGTTTCCTGGGAGTGGGAGTAATGAAGCCGGTGGATGCTGAGTTACCCATGACAGGAAATGTTCTTGAAATGGACGTTCGGGATACACAATGATTTAATCTGTGCACCAGAAAACAGAAAATGTATCAAATGAGTGTCTGTTAGTATTATACATGAACCATGCACATAAACTGTAGAATCTACACAAAATAGTTTTTTACCTGGTTACTAAAACAGGTCACAGAGATCCTCCTTGCTGCTGGTCTATCTGCTGAAGTTCCAACAATGAATGATAGGTGCTCAGGTTCCTCCATTTTAAAGACAGTCCTCCAGGGTAGACAAGGCCTGATCTCGTCTGCCATCAAAGGAACAATTATTTGTATCTCTCTGAATGAGATTAAACACAGCAGTAACAATACAAGTTAATCACTGCTGATTAATGGATCTTGCAATCAGTTTGTATTCATCATAGTTAATCAATCAGGAGATTCCTTCAATCAAACTATTTACACATTTCATCTTGTTAAAAGTTCTAATTATATGTAACATAAGGTATGTATCATCAGTGTTTGAGTTTGATCTGGTTTAAGGTTTCATCTCTGTACTTTTGGTTTATTACATATTATATAAACTGTATAATATTAAGTTTTGTGTTTACAAACAGAGAGTTAAACACAGTCCACATAAACTTTATTCTGTTTCAGAGAATAAAATATTTGTATGTTGTATCTCCACTAAACCTACTGTGGTTTTGCCTTTAAATCACAGTATGAAGTGCTGCTTGCCATTATATTTGTTTTCAGTAGATTCTTCCCCCACATGATCGTGTAACTAAAGTTCAGAATTTCAACTTTGTTTTCAAAGGGCTCGATTTGTTTTATAATTACTGTTCGTTGAATGACCATGGCCATAGGATTTGAGATGTGTACTGTAGTTGAAACCTACACTTTGTCTTAACACCCAAATCACACAACAGAAGTGAAATTAAATCCAAAATTATCATGTTTACAAAATATTTAAACTTTTTCACATTTTTTAAACCAAGAGCCAAGAACTTTTTTAAATTGCTTTATGCTAAAGCTGCCAGTTTTTTTTAACCCACTTGTCAAGTTGGTCAGTACTTTGTTTATTGTTTGTTAGAAACAGGGTTAAATGTTTGTGCATATAATAACCTCTCGAACAGGTTGTGTATGGTTTTACAATTACCAGGTCAAAGAGTTATTTAGGTTCTTAAAAAAATTCCATTACACTATTATGCTGTATTTCTGCTTTCTGTTTAGATGCTGAATAAACTGAAGTTAAGAGCTACTGCAGGTGAAGGAAAAACTGCATTCTCTGAAGATATAACCAATCAATCACCAGTAAGAGAGATCCATGTCTCTTATATTGATCAGTACTGACTGATCCTATTAGCTAGTTGCTTTTGATGAGGAGAGTAAATCCAAAAATGTTAGAACACCCTCCCTTCAACAATCAAAAATAACACACATACCTCACGTAATTTCCGTACTGTCCCTCATGTATTTTAGTGTTACGTATAATTAATTCAGGCCTCATAGGGTTAGGGGTTACTCCTTTTGTTACTAGAAAAACATTTCCAAATTAAGATGGAATGTTATTGTTGACTGAAAGACGAATTCTTCTGGAGAAATCCCTTTGTGGCACAGTTCCAGCTTGGGATATACTTTTGTTAACAAAAATTTGCATTATTATAAACTTGAACTATTGATTTGAGAACCACAAAATTACTTGAACTTCCCATCACACTTGTCATCTAATTCAGGTTGTTTGCACTCCTTGTTTCACTTCCACCCTTCAGTGACTTCAGCTACATTTAAACGATTTTAAGTGCCACCATCTGGCTGACATGACTGAATGAGCACAGAGTGTCCAGTTTAACCCATTGTCCGAAAAAATTTTCTACAACATGTCTGGTGTACTAGCTAGCGTTTGTTGAATTAAAGTAAGTGCCAAATATCTCAGACTATTGAATATTTATGAAACTTGAATATAGCCCTCACTCAAAGTATACAGAATGAACAAAGTTTGTACATACTCCTCACTGTGGAGGACAAAATCATTACCAATCAAGTAGTCACACACTGAGCACAAGTTAAAATTTAATGTACAAAGAAAAATGTCTTATTACTTTTCAGACAACAGGAAGTGGTGGGTGTTGGTAAAATAAAATTCAACATTTTCAGTATTGAGATGGAAAACAGTTTTAACACATTTCTCTTCAAATAGAGATTTAAACCCTTTAAATTTGGTGCTAAGGTTCATAAAAGTTCAGATAACATTATTATCAGAATTCACACATTCACACAAGACAGCAGACTGTATCACTGCTGGCTATAATTACTGAGAAAACCAAACACAGTGCCTGCAATATCACATGCCAGTAGATTGTGAATCAAGTTTTCTTTTCTGGAAGAACATTTGTTTAACTATTTATTTATTTATTTATTTGTAGCTTCTCTTCATAAACATGTGTGATGACAAGACAAATGTACAAAGCAAAGTGAATATAAAGGAATGATAATTAGCCACTTCTGCACTGACTTCTAAATATGATTAGAGTAAAAAAAAAACATTGCTTTTAGGAGATTGGCTGCTAAAACATTCAAGCTTTGAACAGAATCTTTTATCTTGTTTTTTGTGTTCTATTTATTTAAGTTGTTATTAAGGTAATGTAATTTCTCTGAAGCTAATATGTGAATAACATGAAAGCAAGCTTATCAAACAAATAAATGCAACCTCCAACAAATTATTTTATGTAGAATGTACCATTTTAAACATTATGGCTTTGATGTCTCCACAGTGTTGGCATTAAAAAAGACACTGTAGCAGACAGTGATAGAGGGCAGATTTATTCTGGTTTCCTTCGATTATCTGAAAGAACAAGAAAATACACATTTCATCCAATTAGATTTTTTTACATTTGACTCTTAAAGGAACAGTGTGCAAGATTTGTAACCAACTCGCCTCACCCTGCCCTTGAGCCTTGACAGAGCAGGCCTTACTTTCTGGGGAGGCTCAAGTCCTTCAATGTGTGTACTAGGTTATTACGGATGTTTTCCCAGTCTGTAGTGGCCAGTGTCATCTTGGGGATGGACAGGGTGGAGGCAGTGACTGAGAAGAGGATGAAGTGAAGCTGAAAGCCATCATGGACGACCCTCCTCATCCTCTCTATGCTGAGCTGAGGCAGCTCAGGAGCACTTTCAGCCACAGACTGATTCAGCCACGTGCCTCAAAGCGCTTTCAAAGGCTCATTTGTGCCATAAGCCATCAGACTTTACAATGCCACACCACCCAGTACCCCCCACATCCTTGGATTAAACCATTAACTTGCTAAGCAAGTTCCTTTTTGTTTCACACAATACCCTGTAACATTGCACATGTACAATTATCCATTCCAGTTTTCCATCTGTACCATGTTCAACTTTATTGTATATAGTGTATATATTTTTTATATTATAGACTTCTATTGTATTTTCAGAGCCGGTTTAACATGCTAAATGGGACCAATAAATGATTTTAATACATGAATCACATTCTGACTGAAAGAATTTAAAATGCTTGCTCTTGAATCTGATCCAAAATATTTTTCTACTAACCTGCCTTCTTGATTTTGAAGCTCTGCAATGCGTTTCCTTAAAACAGACACAAGAAAAAGTCAAGCTACCAAACAAACAAAAATAAGACAGGGTGAGAGGACATACATCCCCCTTTGTTCATTGTTAAATGATAATTTTGTTCTCTGTAATGTTTTTACACTAAGTTTTTTACTAAACTCACTTGTATTTTTTCACCATTAAGATGCAGAAGACTCCAAAGAGCACAGCAGTACCGATCCCCACCACTGTGAGAATGATGATGTGGTTGTAGTTTTCTGCACCTGCAAATAGACACAATTTATATAAGAGCCATTCTTCCTCCATACTGCACAAATATATCCAGCATATAAACATCAAAATATAGCATATTTTCACAATTCTCTGCAGGTAATGTTAGGAAGAGATTATGTGGATATTAAGATATCAATGGGTGACTGCTCCCTTAATACTCCCGCTATTCAGTTAAGACTTTCCCCGCAATAATTAAGGGAATAAATGACCAACAGAGTGAAAAGATCTCACGTTTTACATAGAGTGTCATTGTTTCAGAGGACTCGGGCTTTCCATGAAATGCTGCTGTGCAGGTGACATCAGTGTGGTCATCCTTCTCCTCAGGAATGAACGTCAGGATGGACTGCACCTCCCACAAGCCCCTTTGAACTTCTCTGTGGATCTCAGTGGCCATGTCTGCAGTTCCCTTATTCCATGTGAGTTTAGGCACATGGGAGGGACAGGTGTGGGTGACTGAACAGGTGAGAGTGTACGGATGATCTTGAATGGCTGTATTTGCGTGATTCAGTATAGGTTTTGGAGGATCAGCTATAAATGAAAAGAGATAAGAGTAAGAGGCAAATCACTGTAACATAGAACATTTTTATAGATTTATAAAATCTTGGAAAGTTGGTGACCTACTGAGCATCCTAAACTCGACACACTGCTCAACAAAGGAGAACTTGTCAGTGGTGGATGTATCAGTCGATGTTTTTGCTAACTCAATCCGGAAACAGAAAGGGCCGTTGTCATGGTCTTTAATGTCAATGATTTCTAAGGTGCAGTTGTTCTGACCCAAAGGTCCCAACAACTTTGTGCGACCCCTAAAGCTGTCAACGATTAGAGTGTTATCGTCGTTATAGATGTATTCTTTGTGATTGGTTGAACAATGCCAGATTCCTCTGAGCCTGGACGTGGGCAGGGGTCCTCTAGGATGGGTGAATGAACAGGGTACCACAACACAGGATGAAACCAGGGCATCAAGGAATGTTACAACATTGGCCTTCCATTCTTCAGTAAAAACAGGGCTGCTGAGAGCTGAAAGGGCGTGAGTGACAAAGAAAGAAATTCATTTTAGGAGGTCCCTTTAAATGATTTGGAAGTGGAGTGTAAATAGGATTGAGATTGGAAACAAAGAGGTGACTAATTATGTTACCTGCCACGATCAGACAGAATATCATCATCTTCCTCTCTTTGTCCATTATACTTCTCCAAGGTTTAGTTGGTGTAATACACTGTTGGATGTTTAGATGATATTAAACTACATAAAAATTTAAATGGTGAGCAAAACCAGTTGTGAAAGTGGACCTTACTCAAGAACACTAATCTTTGCATGCAAGAGCCATTTATAAATACTGGCATTGTTAAATTCCTTATACAGCAAGGGCCTCAAACTGCTGGCCCAGGGGCCATTTCTGGTCCTTCATCCCCCTGCCTCCAGCCCACGACCACATGCAAAAAATATAATATAATCTATATCTATATAAAGATTATTAATTCTTATTATTTTTTATATCAATGATAACTAACCTTTCAAATGCAATTAAAATAAAAACACAATTCAAATTCTAAAAATTTACTTTGTTTAAAGTAATAAATGGCAAAGGTGCCCGCAAATGCGTGCAAAGGGTTGACGAGAGAGCAGGTTTCAAGCCTTCACTTGTTGTTTGGCTATGAACAATAAAGATGATATAAAAAAGTTTAAAAACTGCTGTTTGTATTTTTTGTTGAATATGTTGTTAGTAATGGAAATATTTTCGGAATATTGTGCTTTCTTATAGTACTTGAACAATGACGTGCCCCTCCTTTGAGATGACAATACGAGCAGTATCCAAGACGCCCATCATACAGGCTATATACACTACAGAACAAATGACTCTGCACTCTCTTTTCTATAAATTCTTTGGATTATTTAAGAAATCAAACAAACTATGAAAAAAATAACTATTATCATTCAGACAAACAATGTTGATAAATAATGATGAAAAAAGTAAGAGAAGTTAAAATGGAACAGCGACTGAGTTAAAGTGCTGACTTCCAGCTTTAAATTGCTTTAATGGTTCAATCTGAAGTCAGAGAAATCATCTGAAAATGTATCACTGTTACAGTAAAACACTTTTCACTCAGAATTAAACCGAAATCATTTCAATCCCTGATCAAACATAACTTCAACAATTTCTGTTTATGTGCTTGTAGATGCATTATTATTCTGTTGTGCTCAAGTATGAAAAATATGGTCATTTAGAAGGATAAACACGCAGCCTGTGTGGTGTAGTTTCCTAATAAAGTATCTTGATGTGACTACCGTGAGGAGATGAAACCAAACACTGTGTACAGAGAAAGCAGTGACATAAAATATCTTCATGACACACTATATTATTCCCATGCAGGTTTCAGATTAAACTACAGACAATAATGGCCTACTAAATGTGATACATCTTTCAGTTGTTAATGTTTAACATTAATGCGTGCACATTAGCGGTTGTGCGCATGCACACTGGGACACCGCCCTATGCTTTCTCATGTGTAGAGACATTTGACATGTAGGTGTGAGAAATGTACTGTCAGTTTGTAGAAACAAATCTTTATTTTATTTTGTTAAAAGCCTAAAGTTTTCTCACTGCGTGACTTCCGGTCATCAAAACGTCCCACTGTTTATTGCTCCAGAAAACCAGTCTGGAACTGGTATGCACACCTAATCAATTCACCTCCGCTAACGGGGATAGAGACTAACCCGGGCTGGCCAGTATGAATAACTTATCAAAACTCCTTACCGTTGGGGGAAGTCCAAGTGAAGGTCGGCTCTTAACTGCGGTGAAGATGGGAAAGAAAAGTCGGAGCTCCCCGGAGGAGTTCTGGGGGCGGTGTTACAAATAGGACAGTGGCTTGTTGAGAATGTTTGACGCTTACACAATCTAAAAATCAGATTGTTATGAATACAAAGGTCCCGCCTACACACATTTAATTTTGAGAAGAACATACAATTTTATATATTCATGTATTTCATTGCTTTCCACATTTCTGATTGGAAGCCATCTGCCATTAATGGAGAACGGGGAAGTTCACAGTGGATGTTCCCAAAGTTATTGTGCAGGGATTTTGTCTGATGGCCTTTGTGTTGGTGTACAGTGCTCTGTAGCGCCTCCCAGAGGGGAGAAGTTGGTACAGGTTGTGTCCATGGTGTGATCTGCAGTGATGTTTCCTGCTTCCTCCAATGTGGGTAGTTTTAACTTCAAATATAAACAGTTACCAAGGTTATTGTAGTTAACTAAAACTGAACTAAAAAAAACTAGGTGTGAACAATACATACTATTTAACTGAAATAAAAACATTAAGTTGACTTTAGAAGAAAAAAAAGTGTGTAATTACTTAGATTTTCTGAAAGGTTATATAAATGAGATTAAACATATATTATGTTACAGTATAGTGGAGTCATGGTGTACTGACCAGAGAATGCAAGTCCCAACCTGTGAAGCGATATAGAGAGATAAAGCGGTTTCATTTTTGAGTGTGAATGAGTTGGTCATTGTTCCAACAGTGGAAAGACTAACAAAGGTGGTTTTGAGGAGTTCTGTTTAGTGATGAGCAGACTGTATGTACTGAACCTTTCGAGTCTTTATACTATTTGCAAAATATGGCGTCACACATACCTCTACACTAGCTTCCAGTTGTTGCAGTCTATTTTTTTATTTATTTGCATGTTTATTTCATTTGATTAGATAGATTGAGCTGATTTATGTATTAACTGTACTTTTTACCCCATTCCCCTTTATTATAGCCTAGGCCCTCTAATGAAACTCCCTTGCTGCAACCTAGTTGAATGGAGAGAGAGTAAAAGTCTTTTATTTCATGCATTGTCAAAAAATCTCTATTTTTGGTATAGCAGTCATTGGCTCTGGTCTATTCTGGGTCCTGTGTATTAGCTATCACTAGGTCACCTCAATAAGCTCAATAATAACTGACTTGGAACACTGTATACTGCCAAATACTTCTAATGTCTATACCACAATGTGTACAGTCAGTTAGTGTAAGATAGTTACAAATGCTTACACATACATGACTCCATAATTGTTTAAAGTCACTGGCTAACAGTGACTACAGCAGCCTTAGCCCTTCCAAGAGAAAAAGAAAAGAGATCTGTCAATTTGCCGCATTTAGCTGCATCTTGTACAAGCAATTTTGTAGCTTGTTCATTTTTCTTTACCACCCACAAAAACTTCAGACAGATGGAGACTCTTCACGATGAAAATGACTGAGCCAATCAGATTCCAATAAAAACCAGGATTGGTCCAGATTTGGAGGGGCCGCTCATATCATAACTCAGTATTGAAAGTAGATTGGCCCAGTCTGCCAGGCAACATCTAGCTCTGAGTTGTCTAAGGCTGCGTTGACAAGGCTGCCCATGCAACGGCCAAGGCTCATACAGATATGATCCTTTTGACATCACAAAAAATAAAAACTCTATGTCCATTGGCAAACTTCAACCAATCAGATCCATGTAACATACTCAAAAAAAACAGTACATGAAAAGTCCCAGTTCCTTTTATACAGTCTGACTACCCAAGTCAGTCTGGTTCTCTGGAACATAACAGGAAATTCTACATGGTGCCAAATACGGCCCTGGCCCAAGACCAGCTCTTGAGCAATTTCCCACAAGAGCCTGGATAGGACTGACTAGAACCGGACTGGTGTAGAGTTGAACCAAAGTTAAAGCCTTACGTAACCTTAATGGATTACTTATACATCAATCTGCCATAACATTATGTCACTGGGTGGGATATATCAGGCAGCAAGTGAACATTTGTCCTCAAGTTGATGTGTAAGAAGCAGAAAAAATGGGCAGTCTAATGATTTGAGCGACTTTGACAAGGGCCAAATTGTGATGGCTAGACGACTGGGTCAGAGCATCTCCAAACCTGCAGCTCTTGTGGGGTGTTCCCGGTCTGCAGTGGTCACCACCTATCAAAAGTGATCCAAGGAAGGAAAGGCTGTGAACCGGCAACAGGGTCAAGGCTCTTTGATGCACATGGGGAGTGAAGGCTGTGGCCTGATCCAACAGATAAACTACTGTAAAACACACAGTGCATCACAGTTTGTTGTTATGGTTGATAAGTGTAATTTCAGGTTACATGCTGCCTCTGTGAGTTTGAGAAAATTGTCTTTTACCAGGACCAATCCCTATGTTCAGGAGTCTCCCAAACAGGATTTCCAATGGGCTGAAACCACCTCTGTTCCTCACTCTGGCACTCATGTGCATAAAACAATCGGTAAAGCTTTTGTCCTTGTTAAACCTGCCTCTTTGTAACATTTTACAGATTTTGGTACAGAAGGTTGTTAATCTGGTAAATCTGGCCGGGGAGAGCAAGCTTCAGTTATTACTGCAACACATTCATGCGGCTGTATATCACCTGAAGTTGGGAGAAGAGTAGCAGAGTTAATGACAGTGCATCTTTTAACTGTGATGTTTGGCATGTCAATCAGAACAGTGTTGTACCTGAGCTACCTTGCTGTTGAAAGATTAGAAGCTTTTTTGTTCAAGCAAAATCATTGACACTTTATGTGGAACCAGTAAAGTCTGGTCAGTGTAACCTACAATGTCACGTAATGCTATCACAACCTGCATTGCTGCTACAGAGTCAAGTTGTGTTGATAGGTAGGCTACAGGTCTCTGTCATCCCCCCGTGGTCCTGAATCAGTCATGTACTTTCCACTCTGCTTTAATCATTTTTCATTTTTTTCTTTCTTTTGCTTTGTTCTTCCTTCTCTTCTTATTTAATTTGAAACATTTGTAATTGCTTTATGTTAAAGCTGCCAGTTTCTTTAACCCACTCAAGTTGGTCAGTTCTTTGTTTATTGTTTGTTATAAACAGGGTTAAAGGTTTGTGCATATAATAGCCTCTTGAACAGGTTGTGTATGGTTTTCCAATTACCAGGTCAAAGAGTTATGTAGGTTCTTAAAAAATTTCCATTACACTATTATATTGTATTTCTGCTTTCTGTTTAGATGCTGAATAAACTGAAGTTAGGAGCTACTGCAGTTGAAGGAAAAACTGCATTCTCTGAAGATATAACCAATCAATCACCAGAAAGAGAGATCCACGTCCCTTATATTGATCAGTACTGACTGATCCTCTTAGCTAGTTGCTTTTGATGTGGAGAGTAAATCCAAAAATGTGAGAACACCCTCCCTTCAGCAATCAGAAATAACACATATACCTCACATAATTTCCGTACGGCCCCTCATGTATTTTAGTGTTATGTATGATTGATTCAGGCCTCATAGGCCTCAACTTCCTCATTTAAAACTTAATGTTTATTAATAAAATCACTCCTTGTGTTACTTTTTGTTGATGTTATTGTTGACTGAAAGACAAATTCTTCTGGAGAAATCCCTTTGTGGCACAGTTCCAGCTTGGGATTTACTTCTCTTCACAAAAATGTGTATCGTTGTAACCAAGTTCATACTGATAAGTGATTGTTATGGAAATTGAATCATGATTTTCTCTCAGTGTAAAACAACTTCTACAATGTGCTTCAACTTGAGCTATTGATTTGAGAACCACAAAATTACTTGAACTTCCCATCACACTTGTCATCTAATTCAGTTTGTTTCCACTCCTTGTTTCACTTCCACCCTTCAGTGACTTCAGCTACCTTTAAACAGTGTTAAAGTGCCACCATCTGGCCGACATGACTGAATGAGCACAGAGTGTCCAGTTTATAAAAAACTTCCTTGATGGTAGTCAGTCTTTAACAACCCATCGTCCAAAACATTTTTCTACAACATGTCTGGTGTACTAGCTAGCGTTTGTTGAATTAAAGTAAGTGCCAAATATCTCAGACTATTGAATATTTATGAAACTTGAATATAGCCCTCACTCAAAGTATACAGAATGAACAAAGTTTGTACATACTCCTCACTGTGGAGGACAAAGGCATTACCATCAAACAACGATAACGTAGTCACACACTGAGCACAAGTTAAAATTTAATGTACAAAGAAAACATGAAAGCAAGCGCATCAGACAAATAAATGCAACCCCCAGCAAATTATTTTATGTATACACATGTAAAATTTGAAACTTAATGGCTTTGATGTCTCCAGAGTGTTGGCATTAAAAAAGACACTAGCAGAGAGTGGACATCTTTAGGTTCCCTTTGATTATCTGAAAAAACAAGAAAATACACATTTCATCCAATTCGATTTTTTTTTTACATTTGACTCTTAAAGGAACAGTGTGTAGGATTTAGGTATAGTTTCAGATTGCAACCAACTTGCCTCACCCTGCCCTTCCAAGCATGTAAGGGAAAAGGAAAGTGGTAGCTGTGAAGCACAAAAAGCCCTATCTGGTATAGTATGTAGTCTTGTAGGTTTTTTGTGATTGTTGCGGGCAAAAATCCTTGATTATGCGGCACGTTTTCTTATAACATGCAATGGAATATGCGGGATATTTATGTTATTTCATGTGATGAAATTGCGGGAACTTGCAAAAACTGCAGCTTCATCGCGGGGTCTTCAGCTTCCCGATGATGTTCACGTCACGTAATTACGTCACTTCATAACATTCCCATGGCAACAGGGGAAAATGGCTGCTCTTGTGTGAAGTAAACGCAACATTTTTCAACTTTCTGCTAAGATATATGTGACTTTTTTTGCAACAAAGATGCGGGGATTATGAAATCATGCAAGCCCCGCATATCTTGCGCGGAAATTGGCAATTTATGCGACGAAAGTGTGGCGTATTTGAAAAAAAGCGCCCCCCCCACATAAATATGCAGACTTTGGCTGATTATGCACTGAATTATGCGATCGCATAATCACGTTTTTCTGGAGGGACTGAGTATGTATTGTGTTTGTTTTGTCCATTCTGGGCTGCTATAGAAACATGATGGTTCAACATGGCGGCCTTCGTAGAGGACACGCTCTCTATGTAGATAAAAAGGGCTCAAAAACACAATGATTCTTATTTTCAGGTGATTATCCACTAATGAAAACATACCAATGAATCTTATATTTCATATCTGCCAATAGAGTTAAATGTTACACACTGGACCTTTAAAGCTGCATTCTGGGGGGGGGTAGCCCTGGTTAAAATACTTGTAGACTTCAAGATTCATTTTCATGGAGTCATCAGAAAGTAAATAGTTTAAGAAAGAGAGGTTTAACATGTACATGGATATAAATATTGTTTAAAATGTAACTGGAAGGTTAAAATGTGTTTAAATATAAGATGTATAATCTCTACAGTTCAGAGGTCTGAGGATGGAGTTTGATTAGCATAGTTTTTTGTATATGTATCTGTATTACTCACATGTATTCAGCCTTACAGCCTAACTTGGTTCATCATGTCTGATATGCCAATCTTTGTGTTCTTTATTGTAATTGGACTGTTTATATTCTAAGGTAGAGGGCTGGGGTTTAGTCGTACCCTGCTAGCTCCGGTGTTTGTGGAGAAATGCAGAAGCTGTCTATCACCGTCGAGTGAACTGTGAATTGTACGAGAGCAATAATGTTCATAACTTCATGATTGACAACCAGTTATCCTAAGGGTTTGCACTTTTGTGATCAACAAGAGGTAAATATGAGTTTGTGAACTTTTTCCTGTACTGTGACTTATTGTTATAGTGTAAAAAAACGAGGTGTGTTGCTATTAGCCTAGCATGAGCGTCATTAGCTTTGCTTTCATATTGTTAGCTTTGCCATGAAAAAGCATATGCACGTAGTGGATTTATCTGATTCAGGAGACGGACATTTGTGACTGTAAGCGAGGATTGGGAAAGCTCCTTTGGACCACTGTGGAGACTGTTTCCCTCCTGCTTGCGTGCTGATGCTGTGGACTGTTGCTGCTGTTTCTTCTTTGCTCTGCCGGGTTTCCAGCATCGCGCCTTTGCTCATCTATCCCTCTGACCATTTTTTTTGTGAGTACTGATACACTTGCGCGTGCCTTTTATTTTGATGGCTTGTTTGAACAAGTGAAGCGGCCATTACAGTTTTTAGGCCTCCACGCTCCCAAGCCACGACTCAGGCCTGCAACTGTTTGGTTTATGTTGCAACGTGAGTGTGTGTGTGTGTGTGTGTGTGTGTGTGTGTGTGTGAGAGAGAGTGTGGGCCCACAATATAAAGTTATTGTTCACATGTTAAAGATGCTATGCACTGAAGATATTAGAGCCTGATTGAAAATCAAAGAAAATAATCTTTAAGGTATTAGGAGAACACTATTTTGTGTTTATTAATATTGGGTATTATTTGTGTTGACATATTTCCATGATTTACCTGAAGTATTATTTTGTTTAATAATAAATGACTAAATGTTGTCATATTGCATTTAAAGCACATGTGTTGTGTCGTATAATATCCTAAATAAGACATATTTTGGGTTAATGCTTTTTGAGTGAATACAGGTTATGTGGTATTTTAGTTGAAGAGTAAAAAGGGAAATTAGGTCATAAGAGTTATATTATTTTGTAGGTACAGGTAATAGATTACTTAAACTTAAACCATACCCAGGACCCCGCCCAGAGTACTATTACACGCAGCAGATAAATATAATCTACATAGCTACATGGGACGGGTGGTACACAAGTTTAAATGCCAGGCTTGTGATCAGATGTCCTTATCCTGTTAACATATCCAGATACGGGTATGAATAAGGTTAAAAAAAAGCTCAATATGGTTGTAAAATTTGATAGGTGCCCAAAAAGAAATGAACAATCCATTGGACAATAGCTTTTCTGTGTGTTTGCTCAAACTGTGCATGAACAAGCTTGATTTGGGATTTCTACAGCCCCCTTGTGACCAAAACGTATTGATGCAGCTTTAAATACTTTTTAATGTTTTTTTTTTTTTTTTTTTTGGTTTAACTGTTTAACTGCTTTCCAAAACTGTCTCATGCATTTCAATGAAGTTCTTTGTTTCACTTCTGACCTTCAGGTCCTGTGCCTGTAGAAAAGAGAGAACAGAAACTAAGATAACATCAATATATATATATATATAAATATAAGCATAGATCTTGTCAAAAACAGTGACAAAAAAGATATGTGAAATGACTGTGAGGCCAATGATGCGTTAATGTGTGAAAGTTTACGGTTTAAATAATATAGATTAAAAAATAAATAAAATGCCTTTAATGAGAATGGCCTACAGTCATTTCAGCTGTTTATTGCTGTATGAAATCCTTAACAAGCTGTACCCCTCTATTATCAGAGATTCCAGACATTTTGGGGACAAAATGTATATCTATAGTATCTCCAAGTCCAAAAGTAAAGTATTTTTTCTCACCTGCGAGACAGTCTGGAGAGCCGGTTCAACATGCTAAATGTGACCAATAAATAAATGAATTCATGAATCACATTCTCATAAAACTGAAAGAATTTAAAATGCTTGCTCTTGAATCTGATCCAAAACATTTTTCTACTAACCTGCCTTCTTGATTTTGAAGCTCTGCAATGCGTTTCCTTAAAACAGACACAAGAAAAAGTCAAGCAACCAAACAAATGAACTAGGAGAGGAAACACAGCCCCTCTTTGTTAACGTTATTAACTGATCATTTTGTTCTTTGTAATGTAGGTTTTTACTGAACTCACTTGTATTTTTTCACCATTAAGATGCAGAAGACTCCAAAGAGCACAGCAGTACCGATCCCCACCGCTGTGGGAATGATGATGTGGTTGTAGTTTTCTGCACCTGCAAATAGACAGGATTTATATAAGAGCCATTCTTCCTCCATACTGCACACATATATCCAGCATATATCTTTTTGTGCAGCACTTTGGAAACCTTGTGTTTGTTAAAATCGTGCGATATAAATAAAGTGGATTGGGTTGGATTGGACATATAAACATCAAAATATAGCATATTCTCAAAATTCAACAGCAGAGTGAAAAGATCTCACGTTTTACATAGAGTGTCATGGTTTCAGAGGACTCAGGCTTTCCATGAAATGCTGCTGTGCAGGTGACATCAGTGTGGTCATCCTTCTCCTCAGGAATGAACGTCAGGATGGACTGCACCTCCCACAAGCCCCTTTGAACTTCTCTGCGGATCTCAGTGGCCATGTCTGCAGTTCCCTTATTCCATGTGAGTTTAGGCACATGGGAGGGGCAGGTGTGGGTGACTGAACAGGTGACAGTGTACGGATGATCTTGAATGGCTGTATTTGCGTGATTCAGTATAGGTTTTGGAGGATCAGCTATAAATGAAAAGAGATAAGAGTAAGAGGCAAATCACTGTAACATAGAACATTTTTATAGATTTATAAAATCTTGGAAAGTCGGTGACCTACTGAGCATCCTAAACTCGACACACTGCTCAACAAAGGAGAACTTGTCAGTGGTGGATGTATCAGTCGATGTTTTTGCTAACTCAATCCGGAAACAGAAAGGGCCGTTGTCATGGTCTTTAATGTCAATGATTTCTAAGGTGCAGTTGTTCTGACCCAAAGCTCCCAACAACTTTGTGCGACCCCTAAAGCTGTCAACGATCAGAGTGTTATCCTCGTTATAGATGTATTCTTTGTGATTGGTTGAACGATGCCAGATTCCTCTGAGCCTGGACGTGGGCAGGGGTCCTCTAGGATGGGTGAATGAACAGGGTACCACAACACAGGATGAAACCAGGGCATCAAGGAATTTTACAACATCGGCCTTCCATTCTTCAGTAAAAACAGGGCTGCTGAGAGCTGAAAGGGCGTGAGTGACAAAGAAAGAAATTCATTTTAGGAGGTCCCTTTAAATGATTTGGAAGTGGATTGTAAATAGGATTGAGATTGGAAACAAAGAGGTGACTAATTATGTTACCTGCCACGAGCAGACAGAATATCATCATCTTCCTCTCTTTGTCCATTATACTTCTCCAAGGTTTAGTTGGTGTAATACACTGTTGGATGTTTAGATGAAATTAAACTACATAAAAATTTAAATGGTGAGCAAAACCAGTTGTGAAAGTGGACCTTACTCAAGAACACTAATCTTTGCATGCAAGAGCCATTTATAAATACTGACATTGTTAAATTCCTTATACAGCAAGGGTCTCAAACTGCTGGCCCAGGGGCCATTCCTGGTCCTCCATCCCCCTGCCTCCAGCCCACGACCACATGCAAAAAATATAATATAATCTATATCTATATAAAGATTATTAATTCTTATTATTTTTTCTAGTTGTAGAATATCAATTTAAACTACGTCTTAATATACAAAACAAACACACATCTTAAAAATGTACTTTGTTCCGCTTTCTTGTAGTACTTGAACAATGAGATGACAATACCAGCAGTGGCCTCAAGACAATCTGTGTTTGAGACGTCCATCATACAGGCTATAGACATCAGAAAAAATGACTCTGCACTCTCTTTTCTATGAATTCTCAGGATTATTTAAGAAATTATCCAAACTTAATAATTCTTATCATTCAGACAAACAATGTTGATAAATAAATAATGAAAAAAATCAGGTTGTCGTCCCCTAATAAACCACATCCAGAATTGCTCAAATTACTTTTTTATTTATATGTATTTGCATTCATATGACGAATACTCACATTGTTTGCATTATACCAGTATATATGTTTAACTAATTGAAAGTTAAAATAGTCGTTATAGGATTATGAGAACTTTCTATTCTCTTTCTCTTTAATTTTTGGTCTATTCATTTACAAAAAGTAAGACAAATTAAGACAAATGTAATTAAATTGACAAACAATTACAATACAGAAAATGACAAGAAGTGAGCCCACATTGGATATTCTATTGTATAGTATAATTTATATTTATAGTAAGTATCAAAATCGTACCTGATTCTGCAGCTAATCACAGCTGTTTGTGTCTGCTGTCATGGAGTTCAGTACATGAACTGTCAACAGAAGGTACTGTAGTTTGTTTTTTGTGTGTGGTGCATGAGTAAGAGACACAACCCCTTTTTTTGGTTGTGTGAATATATTTTCACTTTCATAATGAGGTTTTAGGTTTAAGTTAAAGATCTCTGAAATAATCAGGTTTTTTTTTTTTTTTTTTTCAAGACAAAAACCTGTGACTTCAATATATTTCTTTGTCTCTATTCAGTCACACTGGGATTAAAATGAACCAGCGACTGAGCTCAAGTGTTGACTTCCAGCTTTAAATAGCTTTAATGGTTCAATCTGCTTGTAGATGCATCAATATTCTGTTGCGCTCAATTATGAAAAATATGGTCATTTTGAAGGATAAACATGCAGCCTATGTGGTGTAGTTTTCTAATAAAGTATCTTGATGTGACTGCAGTGAGGAGATTAAACCAAACACTGTGTACTGAGAAAGCACTGACATAAAGTATCTTTATGACCCATCATTATTATGAAACACCACAAAGTAAGTAGAAATCAGCCTGGTTAAGATTTGTATTGTTCACCCTACTGCTATATTATTTCCATGCAGATTTCAGATTGAACTGTAGAAAATAGAGTTTGATTTGATTCCTCGTGTTCGGTGGGGATGGAAAACGTGGGACTTGAGTGATAGAGTGGTATAGCACTCCTGCATGTCTGCTTTATTGTGTGGTATGAGTCACCTTACTGTGAGTAGCTAAATTTGAGTGTGGTAGCACAGTTTTGATTTGGTTCAGATTGGTTCCTGTGTTGTAGTGGTGTATTCCTAATTTGTCTACATATTTTGTGACACTTTCCTCTCTTACACATACTTCTAAACTAGCTTCCAGTTGTTTCAGTCTAGCCAAACATTGTTTTTATTTTATTTTATTTGCGTGTTTATCTAATTTAATTAGATAGATTGATCAGATTTATGTATTCATATATTCATTCAAATATTTCTCGACATAGATGATTAATTGATGATTAATCAAATCAATCAAAAGTAGGCCGTAGTAAGTGTCTAGAAAGTTCTCACTCCTGGGCACTAATTTTTAAATGTGTTTTTTCTTAGACAACCCGTAGTGTTAAAAGTTATCCGCAAAATAAAATGTTGTCACATTACAGAAACACTGATGAGTTATACAATTCTTTCAATAGCCCTGTGAAATCAGAGGAAGCTAAATGCAACCTAACACTGACAAGCAGTCAGACCAAGGCAGGTGTCTGCCTCTACGTTTAAATATGACAAAGAGTTTGCTTTGGTCATATTTAAATCGTCTGACATGGGTGGCCATGGGCTCTTCATACCGGGGGAGTCACATAGAAGCATCTTTAATATCAGTTCCACGTATCGTGTGAACCTATCGTGACATCACCCATTGGTTTGTGAAGTACCATTTGAAGCCTTGAGTTTGGTGTTTTTGGCTGCCGTCAGCGGACGTGACGTACTGCGAGTTGATCTGCGCTCATTGGCTGCGCAGTTTTGATTTGTCCGTAGCAGAAAACAATGGCCGCTCTTGTATTACAGCTAAACAGTACACTAAAATATGTTTCTGAAACGATTTAAAGTGAGAAATAGGCAACCCAGTAACAGAATCTTGCTTTGTTTTTGATCAGCACTGCCTAGTTTGACAGTTTGATCTGACTTTTATGCGCTGCACTAGACAGACTCACTGACAATGACCTGTCAATCAAAAGGTAGCCCCGCCCAAAAGCATCTGCTGCTTTATCGTCTATTTTACTCTAAATTGGACCATAATTTACCAAATGAACATCATAATGTGTGGAAGAACGCATGAAACTAGCGATTGAGACCATACATTTGTTAATAAACAGTTTACTGAGCTTATAAATTAAGTGACAGGTTGGCTCATTCTCTATTAGAGTGAATGGTATCAGTGTATTATTGCAGCTAATGGCGCTCCCCCTGCTGGCCTATACATAGAATGCAGGTTTTAAGACTTTTCCGGGTTGGCTTCACTTTTTAGACCCGAAAGCTCTGTCCATTATATATTCTGTCAATGGTTCCGCTCTATAAAGTGTCCTTGTGTCCTCTGTAGTATCGATGGAGGCCCATGAAGTTGGTCTTTGCAGACGAGAGGGCTGTAACTGCGCAGGGAGTTGAACCCACTCAAGGGGACGCTGTTTCGGTATGTATTCCACCGTGTGCATGTAAAATCTTTTGCCTCTGCTTTCTTTATGGACGCGGGATGCATAGAGCATTGTTTATAATCCCATTTACACACTTTTGACCGTAATTTTTGTTGTCAAATGTTGACAACAAGGGCGCAAACATCTTGGATTCTTGTTTCCAAAATGTGGCCACCTGGTTAGTCCAGTGATGATTGTTTAGCATCAGGCATCATCCCTCATGATCAAAATGTGATGTGAAGAAAGAACTATTGCCGACTTTAAACACAAATTTACACTTTGAGTATGAAAAAAAATAAAAATAAATACATTTTTAAAATTGCGAGTTATATAAAACTTCACGCCCATGCAGCTAACAAGATAGTCAGCTATAGAGACAAAAGTTTTGTATCAGGCTGTAAACATGCTTATTTCTTTTGAGGAATTGGGCATTTCAGACTGTAATTATAGTCCAGTAGACTGAACTAAAACCTTCATAGTTAATGTTATGCCCCGACAATACATGAAGAGCAGGACTGAATGCAGAAGTGAGAAATATATTTGCATACACAAGAAAAAACATACACAGTGTGGCACATTTACAAATGAAGTGTTAAACTTCATGATGAACCACAGGCCAAAATATCAAACAAGAACCATGATTCAATCTTGCAGGAGTTTAACATTCTGCAATGTGTGCAGGCAATCATTGTCCAAGGTGCAGATCCTGAGACCTCTGTGGGATCATTTCAAACATTTTATGAAACTTCTGTGGCATTTTTATGCATCGATCTTCACTTTTCTTTTTATCTTGATTATTGTGGTATCCGAAGGCCTATAAATTTAAGTTACAGTTTGTTATAAGTTCAAGTGATATTTTTGTCAACATATATTGTTCACCTATAAAGCTCTTCATGGTCAGGCCCCTTCATATCTTAAAGAGCTCATAGTAGCCTATTACCCCACTAGAACATTACGTTCTCTGAATGCTGGGCTACTTGTGGTTCCTATAGTCTCTAAAAGTAGAACAGGAGCCAGAGCCTTCAGTTACCAAGCTCCTCTCCTGTGGAACCAGCTTCCAGTTGTGGTTCGGGAGGCAGACACCCTCACCACATTCAAGAGTAGGCTTAAGACATTCCTCTTTGATAAAGCTTATAGTTAGGGCTGGATCAGGTGAGTCCTGAACCATCCCTTAGTTATGCTGCTATAGGCCTAGACTATCGGGGGATTTCCCATGGTGCACTGAGCTACTCTCTTCCTCTCTCTTTCTGCACTCATTCATGTCCCATTAATGCATGTTACTAACTCCACTTCTTCCCCGGAGTTCTTGTGCTTTCTCATCTCGCAGGTTCTCATGGATCCTGGTGGAGCCTCCTGCCATGGTCCTGCTTGACTGCCATTGCCAATACTGTTGTTGCTGTGCACCTGTCTGTCTGTCTGTCTCTCGCTCTCTCTCTGCCTCTCTCTCTCTCTCTCTCTCTCTCACCCCAACTGGTCGAGACAGACGACCACCCACCTAGAGCCGGAGGATCTGTCCTAGGTTTCTGCCTTTTAACAGGCAGTTTTTCCTTGCCCTTGTCGCCAAGTGCTTGCTCATGGTGGTACTGTTGGGTCTCTGTAATTAATGTTAAAGAGTTCGGTCTAGACCTGCTCTATTTGAAAAGTGTCCTGAGATAACTTCTGTTATGAATTGGCGCTATACAAATAAAATTGAATTGAATTGAATATGCAGTGTTAGTAAGACATGAGGTTGAACGTCGTAATTCTTACTATGAAATGTTTAGGTTAGGGGCCTCTTCGAAGCCCCTTGGACCTTTACCTTCTGACGTAAATATTTCAGTACATCTGATAGCTAAACCAGATGTTTCTTTACCATTTTCTTGAATAAACAATAGACCTATATAAACCTATGTTCGACGCAAACAGATAGAGTTATTCATTTGGCTGGATGCTCTCCAAGCTCCGCGGTGCTTGTATTGATGCTGAACTTTTTGTAATAAACCTTTATACAGTGGGTACGGAAAGTATTCAGACCCCTTTAAATTTTTCACTCTTTGTTTCATTGCAGCCATTTGCTAAAAATCAAAAAAGTTCATTTTATTTCTCATTAATGTACACTCAGCACCCCATCTTGACAGAAAAAAAAACAAAAATGTAGAAATGTTTGCAAATTTATTAAAAAAGAAAAACTGAAATATCACATGGTCATAAGTATTCAGACCCTTTGCTCAGTATTGAGTAGAAGCACCCTTTTGAGCTACTACAGCCATGAGTCTTCTTGGGAATGATGCAACAAGTTTTTCACACCTGGATTTGGGGATCCTCTGCCATTCTTCCTTGCAGATCCTCTCCAGTTCTGTCAGGTTGGATGGTGAACGTTTGTGGACAGCCATTTTCAGATCTCTCCAGAGATGCTCAATTGGGTTTAGGTCAGGGCTCTGGCTGGGCCAGTCAAGAATGGTCACAGAGTTGTTCCGCAGCCACTCCTTTGTTATTTTAGCTGTGTGCTTAGGGTTATTGTCTTGTTGGAAGGTGAACCTTCGGCCTAGTCTGAAGTCCTGAGCACTCTGGAAGAGGTTTTCTTCCAGGATATCTCTGTACTTGGCCGCATTCATCTTTCCTTCAATTGCAACCAGTCGTCCTGTCCCTGCAGCTGAAAAACATCCCCACAGCCTGATGCTGCCACCACCATGTTTCACTGTTGGGATTGTATTGGGCAGGTGATGAGCAGTGCCTGGTTTTCTCCACACATACCGCTTAGAATTAACGCCAAAAAGTTCAATCTTGGTCTCATCAGACCAGAGAATCTTATTTCTCATAGTCTGGGAGTCCTTCATGTGTTTTTTGGCAAACTCTATGCGGGCTTTCATATGTCTTGCACTGAGGAGAGGCTTCCGTGGGGCCACTCTGCCATAAAGCCCCGACTGGTGCAGGGCTGCAGTGATAGTTGACTTTGTGGAACTTTCTCCCATCTCCCTACTGCATCTCTGGAGCTCAGCCACAGTGATCTTTGGGTTCTTCTTTACCTCTCTCACCAAGGCTCTTCTCCCACGATTGCTCAGTTTGGCTGGACGGCCAGGTCTAGGAAGAGTTCTGGTCGTCCCAAACTTCTTCCATTTAAGGATTATGGAGGCCACTGTGCTCTTAGGAACCTTGAGTGCTGCAGAAATTCTTTTGTAACCTTGGCCAGATCTGTGCCTTGCCACAATTCTGTCTCTGAGCTCCTTGGGCAGTTCCTTCGACCTCATGATTCTCATTTGCTCTGACATGCACTGTGAGCTGTAAAGTCTTATATAGACAGGTGTGTGCCTTTCCTAATCAAGTCCAATCAGTTTAATTAAACACAGCTAGACTCCAATGAAGGAGCAGGACCATCTCAAGGAGGATCAGAAGAAATGGACAGCATGTGAGTTAAATATGAGTGTCACAGCAAAGGGTCTGAATACTTATGACCATGTGATATTTCAGTTTTTCTTTTTTAATAAATTTGCAAAAATTTCTACATTTCTGTTTTTTTCTGTCAAGATGGGGTGCTGAGTGTACATTAATGAGAAATAAAATTAATTTTTTTGATTTTAGCAAATGGCTGCAATGAAACAAAGAGTGAAAATTTTAAAGGGGTCTGAATACTTTCCGTACCCACTGTATATACAATCAAGACGGTGTCAGCGGACTTCTCTTCAACACACATCATCGCTACCTAATATACAACATTATCTCTGTTCCCCATTTTGTCCACTGCTTACTGGATATGTGTGTGTTAATTTAAGCTGAAAGTCATTACTTCATAGTCATTGCCATTCTACCCAAGTGCAAAGCCAATACAGCAAAATGTGCCACAGTTCTGATTTCTGACTGAAGATCACTGATATGTTAAACTATGCAATCGCATGCTCTTGAATGCTATCGAATCTCATTTTGCATTTATATCTTAACATATCAAACTTAATTTCAGAATTTCACAGATTAGCAACAATTCTATGCAAATATGGAAGAGGTCTATAACTCTCATATCACACACAAGAGACCACTCCCAGCTTTCTACACTTTTTTACTGCTGCTGCCTCTACATCTGCTTTCACCTCACCCACACAATGACACAAAAATACATTCTTCTGTTGCCTGTAGAGTTCACATCTTTGTCAAGTTAACTGCAGAATAGAAAGTCATTCTTTAGGAGGTGTTTTTAGGAGAAACATACAGCTCTGATCAGCCAGACTTCATCAGGTAAGATTCTGGTAACTCATCACACTTGATTGAGGTACAACATGAATGTTGCTGCACTACATTTTCTTCTAATATTTCATTTTGAAAGATTATCGTACATATACTGCTGTCTGGGTTTAGGAATAATGCAGCTTATTTAAAAGTTCTTCTTCAAAGTGTGTGTGACTTTGTTAAAATAGTAATAAGAATGAATAGAAAAGAAAGTCATATGTGAAAGGAACTGTTTTCAATTTAGATAAAAAAACTTTTTAATGTATTAGAGTGTTCTTTCAGATTTGTATATCCTGTATGAGGACATTAACAATGCCAGTATTTTCTGTATAAGTAAATGGTTCTTGAATGCGAAGATTAGTGTTGTTTGAAGTATATTTATAGTATTGTAATAACGGTGGGTAATGTTTACAATTGTATTTTCTATTCAGTTTAATTTCATCTAAATATCCAACAGTGTATTACACCAACAGAACCTCAGAGACGTAAGGACAAAGAGAGGAAGATGATGGTATTCTGTCTGCTTGTGGCAGGTAACATAATTAGTCACCTCTTTGTTTCCAATCTCAATCCTATTGTACTTCCTAGTTCACCCACTTTGGGTCGTGAGGCCTTCTTGATTTTAAGGAGTGTAAGAAAACTTGTAATAGCCCTATGTTTCAGCATGTCATTAATGTCTGTGAAGTTAACTGAATGCAGTCATTTTGAAAGTGTGGGTTATGATTTAGAATATGCACTTCCTCGTCCTGCATCAGAAAAGTTCAAACAACCAAAGAGCTAATTGAAAAATGCATGAATAAATGAATAAAACACTAAAATAAAAAAACAAATTCAGAAATAAATTAAGAAAAAGTATGTATGATTGTGAAAAAAACACAATACAGACAGATAATTGTATAAAAACTTACCAAAAATATCAGTAAAAATTCATTTCTGATGCAATATCCCTATAGTTATTGTGTTCTCTATTTGTGTTAATTGTACAGAGTAGTTGTTTTTTATGGATTGACTGTAATATATGAAATATCCATTAAGTATCTCACTTAGTCAGGAGTCGTCAGTTTACTCAATAATAGAAAAGCTGTTTGGAAGGAAAAAGGGTGGGGACAACCAGATTGTGAAATCACTGAAAGAGAACTCCTAGAAGTAATTTCTTTCTTTTTACTTCCATAATTCTCTTTCAGCTCTCAGCAGCCCTGTTGTTACTGAAGAATGGAAGGCTGATGTTGTAAATTTCCTTGATGCCCTGGTTTCATCCTGTGTTGTGGTACCCTGTTCATTCACCCATCCTAGAGGACCCCTGCCCACATCCAGGCTCAGAGGAATCTGGCATCGTTCGACCAATCACAAAGAATACATCTATAATGAGGATAACACTCTAATCGTTGACAGCTTTAGGGGTCGCACAAAGTTGTTGGGAGCTTTGGGTCAGAACAACTGCACCTTAGAAATCATTGACATTAAAGACCATGACAACGGCCCTTTCTGTTTCCGGATTGAGTTAGCAAAAACATCGACTGATACATCCACCACTGACAAGTTCTCCTTTGTTGAGCAGTGTGTCCAGTTTAAGATGCTAAGTAGGTCACCAACTATCCAAGATTTTATAAATCTATAAAAATGTTCTATGTTACAATGATTTACCTCAAACTCTTATCTCTTTTCATTTATAGCTGATCCTCCAAAACCTATACTAAATCACGCAAAGACAGCCATTCAAAATCATCCGTACACTGTCACCTGTTCAGTCACCCACACCTGCCCCTCCCATATGCCTAAACTCACATGGAATAAGGGAACTGCAGACATGGCCACGGAGATCCACAGAGAAGTTCAAAGGGGCTTGTGGGAGGTGCAGTCCATCCTGACGTTCATTCCTGAGGAGAAGGATGACCACACTGATGTCACCTGCACAGCAGCATTTCATGAAAAGCCTGAGTCCTCTGAAACAATGACACTCTATGTAAAACGTGAGATCTTTTCACTCTGCTGTTGAATTTTGTCCTTTATTTTAAAGCTTCTATACTGGATATATTTGTGCAGTATGGAGAAAGAATATAAATATAAATTCTAAATTCTATATTAATTCTGTCTGTTTGCAGGTGCAGAAAACTACAACCACATCATCATTCCCACAGTGGTGGGGATCGGTACTGCTGTTCTCTTTGGAGTCTTCTGCATCTTAATGGTGAAAAAATACAAGTGAGTAATGCAGTACATTGACATTAACTGATGCATTGATGGACAGAGCACATCAGATAAGTAATAATTTGAGCCAAAATAATCTATTGTCCTGCACATATGTAGTATGTGCTCTTCAATACGTTTATTGTATTAATGTATGGCATTCATTGTCTTTGTTTTCTGTCTGTTCTAGGACACGCATTGCAGAGCTCCAACGTCGAGATGGCAGGTAAAAATGGTGTACAGCGGATTAAGTTCATGGTGCTACACTCATATCACATGATTTCATTTCTTTTCCTTATCATAATGTCATTTTCTTTAATGTTTAGCGTGTTGAACCGGCTGTCCAGGATGTCTCGCAGGTGAGGTTAAAAAAAAGTGGTTTGTGATTATTACAAGTACAAGAATATTATTATCTTAGTAACTTTTAATCGTACTAATGTATAATTGAATCTGTGAAATTTTCAGGATTCGTTCCGATGGCCCAGGACCATCTCATTCTGATCAAAGGCAAGAGGCATTTTAACGGTTATCTCTCTAAACATAATTTTAGTGACTAGTTCTGTACTCTCCCTACTTCCACTTTGTATAGACCGCCCCACTGTAATTTCCTTGTTTGTGCAGAATGTGATAAGATCAGTACTTTTATTTATATGCCTCACAGCATTTGCATATTTTCTCTTCTTCTTTTTGGGCAGAAGGTCTATTTGGAGCAGATTTTCTAGGTAAGACATGAAAAACAGCGTGCTTCATTGCTCAGTTGTTTTCACAGCAATGCACTTTTGTTCTAATGAAACTAACACATATCACATCCTGTTTTTAAACTGAATCTAGCACAGAAGGCCTAAAGGGGAAATGCTGGATTTGGACCATATGTAAGTGTGAGAAATGTATGAAAGTTAAGTAGCGAATTGTAGTTTTTCACACTGTGTAGTGACATGAATTTTTATCCACAGGCCCAATAATGTGAAATCAAAATCCTGTGCCGACGGGAAAATCTCCAAGCCTCGTTTCCCATCCCCCAAAAGGTACTTGCTTCTCTTGAACCTGACCAGTAAATAAAATGTGGATATCATATATTGTAGTACAGCAACGTCTCATGTCCTTTCCCCACCTCTGTCTTCTTGTTAATGCTGTTGATGGGACTCAGCCAGCCAAAATCCTACAATTACAATGAGGTATTATTAAATCGTCAGTGATTTATTCCAGAGAATTACATTGGTTACAAGGCACTATCAACATCTGTAACAATAATGACCATTAATCTCTCACAGGACCTTGATGATGGTGACGATTACATGAACACTGTGGAACTCAACATCTATGGAAACATCTGAAAATAAAGCCCTCCAAAGAGAGTTTGTGATCAAAGCAAACAACAAACCTAATCACGCTCATAATAATCATTGTGTATTAACCACGTCTGATGATTGTAGTTTTAATTATTTATGACTGCTGTGTTAACCTCTCCTGTTAAGCAAAATATATTTAATTGTGTCAAGTAAAATGCATTTTGAACATATGTTTATTGCATTTATTACAATGTCTACCATTATAATGTTACACAGCAATAATCAAGCAACTTTGTTAAACCAGTGTATTTGTTTGTTTGTTTAGGCATGGTGTCATTATTGTTGGGCCTAAACAGTGTTTGGAAAGTTACTGAAAAATTGTAATTTGTTAATTACTAGTTACTTCTCTCGAAAGTAATTGAATTACTTTTCCAATTACTGCATGTAAAAGTAATTAGTTATGAGGGAAGTAGCTTTCTTGTTACTTGTAAATGTCTGTTTCAATGATCTTATTAACACACAACAATTACACGTTACCTTTAAAAAACACACCTAAAACAAAATGCCACAGTAAGATTGAATTCAATGAGTTGACTCCAAAGGCATGAAATAAAAACAAAAAGGGATAAGAATTGAATAAAATAGTTCGAACAACTTTCCCAGCAGTCTGATACTGAACCTTATAAAGGAGGTAAAACGCTGACGTGACTCTCTGAATTCTTTCTCTTTTTCTAAAATCTCTTGAGTGTGAATAACCTACATGTAACCTTTGTACCATGCAGCTGTTTTTTTCTGTTATTGTTGTGGTTATTGTCCCCTAGTATTATATATTCAAGTATCCAGGAACAATAAAGTGCTACAAGCAGCCATCAATGTCATGGACAAGGACTTTTTTTTCCTTTTTTCCCCCTATCTATGTTGCATTCATATTTTGGGGTTTGTCTTTTTTCTTTTCAACTTTTTATTTAATATTTCTCTTTACTGTTTTTGGCCAGTGCTGTTTTTCAAATGTGTATAATAAAATAATAAAGTCTTCAAAAACAATAAAAAAGTATTATGCCTATGAACTCATATATAGTGCTGGTGTACTTTATATTTTATTATTTTTATATTATAAATAAATAATATATATTTATTATATTTATTAGTTAAATTGAATGAACACAGATCTAGGATACACAGTATTGTTCACAGAAAGGGCAAAAATTTGGCTTTATAATGGATGGAATTTACTGTAAATAAGAGATACAGGTACATTTTATTTTGGTTAGCAATATGTATAAACCTAGTTTTATAAGCTTAATTGATTTTATTGTAGATTTCAAGTGTTTTGAGTATCAAATGTTTATTAGTCTGATAACTATACAGTAACTTGAGTGCAAACAGGATCATTTTTGTGGTTGGTACATTGTACCCTCCGCCCACATTTTAGGGGGTGGGGGGTTCTTAAAATTACGTGTGATTAGGGATTTTTGTTACAGGTGGCAAATCTCTTCATTTACTTTCATCTCTGGAGGTAAGTCATTCTGATCTTTAAGAAAGATATTTTTCCATGCTGTGCAGTCGGCCTACTGTCTGCCTTAATCCATGTGAATGCAGGTCTGTTTCAGCAGTTATAGTTAGTTTATAAGATGAAATGTTGAATTTGAAATGAATTCAGCAAAAACGTTGAATGTATCTATGTGTTGTGATATTATGGCTTATTCAAAATGTGGTTGCTGACAAAAATCGCTGACTTCCTTTTTTTAAATTTAGAAACCTTAAACAGTTTTGACATTATTTAGTACAGTACGGGGGAACAGTTCTTGCATGTCGCTAAAATATCTGTCTCCGTTTTACAATGTAGGATTAAATATAAATTCTAATTCCTGTGGGGAGGGATTAAAAAATAACAACACACAAAATGTATTTCTTTAGGCAGAGATCATTTTGCTTATTACTGTTAGCCTCTCTAGATAGTTCTAGTACTGAGAATGTTTTTCTTGAAGGAAAAATCTACCTTGTTCTGCTTTTTCATGCCATGAATCAACAGTGACGCTGACAAAGAGAATACTCAGAGTTTAAGTAAAGCACATTTTCTACTAGAAAAAAAATGAAACTATCTTAGTCCATTGACAAAATTGTTTTATTGTTTTAGAAAAACATAATGTGGTTTGTTTTAACAGCTTTTAGGTTGTGTTTGGAATTTCTTGTGATTTCTTTTTCTCAAAAAACATGTATCTAACATGTATATATGTATTTACATGTATGTAACGTATCTCATTATGTAATCACTCTGCATATTATCTATTCGTTGCTTTGCAACTCAATCTTATTGCTACTTATTTTTGCCAGTGTTTTAAAATTAGGTTTGTTTAATTAGAAAATTAAATAGATAAAAGATTTAATGTATTTTTTTCAGTGTGTACAGTAGCAGAGGGACACTGTTAATGTGATATCAGTATATATAAATTACATGATATTTGGGCTATGTACAGACAGGGCGTAACATGCATGTGCACCCTCTTCCCTTTTTGCATGGAAGAGCCATTTTTGTTTCTTTTTTGTTTCTCTAAACCTGTTAAATAGTCTACAGTGCAAGTAGCAGAAAACATGGGTGAGGTCTTTAACCTTAATCCTACTGTCTGGGGTACCCGCAGACCCCAGAGGTATACTTTGTGCCATATCTCATAGGTAAATCAATTTGTTCATTATGACTTCCTATAATTTTTTTTTGTTTAATTAGTGCAATTATTATTTTTATTAGCATAACTACGTCAGCCATTTTGAAGGAGACAGACACAGATGCGGCAGACACATATAGTGCTACACAATAAGAAAATTAACATCTTGATCCAGTCAGCTAAAAAAAAACTTGATCGGGACATCCCCAAAATTAACCTAACCCTGTAACTAAAAGAATAATCTTTATTTTTCTTCAGACAACATTAATTACATAACTAATAATCTTTTAAGAAGAACTTTTTGCCAAGATGGTTGTTTCTTACAGTCTATTCGTGGTGTCCCCAGGGACCCCAGGACTCAGTCCTTATATGTTACATATGTTGGTAGAATGAGGGTTAAAGTGATACTCCACCCAAAGAGATATGCAGACATTTCCCTTCGGTAACATTGAAAGGTGATCAAGCTTGAAACTCACAAGACAGCAAATCTTGGCCTCTGTTGCTTCCCTTTTGCCCGTTCTTTAGTGAGTCTGTGAATCTACTGACATTATGTAAATTCAATATTACGTTTCCTGAGTGCCCCTTTAATATTGGATCTTAGAGTAAATCAGATTTTTTTTATACATATGATAAATGAATCATAGATTTTTTTTTTTTTTGTATTTTCTTTTTACTTTTTCAATTTCTGGGTGTAAGTTTTAATGCACCTCATGTTTGCTTTATTCACACTGAATGTTCATTAAATTAATCATTCATTCAGTTATTTTTGTAACAGGGACCAGGAAAAACAATGTAGTGCCTCTAGGCATGGTAAACAGATGACAATAATGTCTCTCTTATAATACTAAGATGCTCATTTCACATATATTGCAGGTATACAAGATGTCTGGATTTAGTCATTTTCTCCTGTGCTTCTGGATTCTAGGTACTACAATTTTGTGCTATTCAGATTTGTTAATCCTACATATAAAAACTGACCTAACTGTTTTACATTTTTAACTTTCCTGGCAGGATACATGTTCTGCTGTTCCAGGGCATGGCATGTTAAGATGCCAAGCAATATCAAAGGATTAGTGGATTCCTGCCTTGTCATCCCTTGCAGTTTTGACTACTATCAGTATCCACCGTACAGACCAGACCGTGTGGTTTGGTACCAGTATGTGAGCCGGGGATATCCTTTGGTTTATGACAGGTGGTACCCAGAAGATGTCATTAACATATTTAGAGGTAGAACACGCTTATTTTCTCCCGCATACAAAACATGCAGTCTTGAAATCTCTCGAGTGAAGTGGTCTGACCACAGACAGAAGATTTACCCCTGGGTAGATCCAGAGAATGTCGGGAAAAGCACCTATCGATTCTTTGACACAACTGTAACAATTGAAGTAGTGGGTAAGTTATCATAGTGAGCTTAGAAAAGGATACATTTTTAGATGTATATCTGTATATTCATTTTAATAAACAATATTTTTCTTTTGTTAAGACAGGGCAGAGAAGCCACATATTATGATCTCTGGTGAAAGGAAGGTTGGACAGCCTGTGACAGTGCAGTGCACTGTTTATCACACCTGTCCCACTTATCCACCTACTCTGAGTCTCAACGTCAGAACGCAACACAGTGGTATAACTCATAGCTCAATGTCTGATGGCACATCCAGAACTACCTTGACGACCACACTGAACATAGAGAGAGACCTCCAAACTGTGGAGTGCATGGTCCGACACATTAGTGGTCACAGCGAAACAGCCTCTGTAACCTTAATTTCTGAATGTACGTTATGAGCATGCAAGAATAAAACGTTTTTCTCTTTTTCCGATATTGAAATTTTAACATTCATCATTTGTGTCTCAGGCTCCTTTTTACCCCTGACCATCACACCTACAACAGACGAATTTCTTGAGGGACAGCCAAGTAAAGTAACCTGCACTGCTGTGTACACATGCCCAAAACATATACCAACTTTCAAGTGGAACTATGGTAGCATGCCAACCTCCACTGATACCAGAAAGAGTCAAAGTGCTCAGTGGAAGACCGTCTCCACACTGACATTCACAGCATCGGCCAGCGACCATGGAAGGTCTCTGACATGCTCTGCACAATTCACTGGGGGTCAGAGGCAGGAAGAGAGCATCACCCTACGGGTAAAGAGTGAGTAGAGATAATAATAATTTTTATTTAACAACTAAACCTTACTAATCTATAGCCTTTATAGCGGTTGTATACCAGAACAGCCCTGCATCTCACCTGCATCACCATTAAATGCTGCAATAGAACTGAAACCTATTTCGATAACATTTCGCCAACTATCTGTGCGGTAGTGTTTAGTTTTGTTTCTGTTTTAAACAATTATTCCACAGCACTGGCTTGTTTACCACAATAGTTTCCATCATGCGGTGTCAAAAAGACAACTGACCATTCCTAAGTCCAGCAACAGCTGAGCAACCCTCTAGCTACAAGCTATCTAGCCAACTAACGGTTTATGTAAAGCAACTAGCTCGTTGTAACGCAAATTTGTTTTGAGTCTTTTCAACATAGTTAGAGTCTATGTCTAGCACATATCATATCCAAGTACGTACAGGAGAGCAGAAAGTTGACCGAGGTTCTGGCTGAGGCTTGCTCGACTGTTATTGGAGCACAGAGAATGAAGGGGCGGGGCTTAGGAAAGTTCAATTGAAAGGAAGATAAAAAAAATGATATAGTTCTATTACACAAATGTATTTATTTATTATTTTCAAAAAAAAATAATAATCTTGTGAAATACTGGATTTTTTTAATTTGGGCACAGTACTGTTTTGTCGAACTGCTTATAAAATGTCGTCACAAAATTAAACCAGCTATGGTTGCTCTTTTTATAGCAAATGAGTATGTGTTATGTGAATGGCACTGCTCGTGGTGACAAATCGACAGATAATTAACATCATCTTTGTTATTTTCAGCCACAGATTGCAGATGTTTTCATTGCTTTAGCTTTAAAAACCCACTGTGCTCTCTTTGCAATCACAGAAAAGACACAGTGATCAACTAACAAATGAGCAAAGTGGAGCATTTAGCAGCTAAAGAGCCAAATATATCTCTGAGGACCAAAACAGAACTAAAAGGAGAGTAAATATTGTTCTTTTATTACGTATCGTCCTTACTGCTTGCTTACATGTTAACCCTAATTGTTGCATCTGGGGTCTCAGATAGACATTGCTTTATTTTAAAGGGTCACAAGCCAGAAAGGTTGTGAACAAAGATCTGCAACTTTGCTTAAGTTGTTTCTTCTTTATTACAGGAAATATGCTCTCTCGTGGTTGGTCCTTCACCACCCCTAGTAGCATCACAGGCATGAGTGGCTCCTGTATCATCATTCCTTGTAGATTCACCTATAGTATCTCCCAGCCTGCTGACCTACAGGTTATATGGTACTTGTTCCAGAGCAATGGATACCCTTCTGTTTTTGACAAAAAACAGAATGTTATTAGCAGGTATAGAGGGATAACTAGCTTGATTGGATCTGTGGGGGAGAGGAATTGTAGTCTTAAGATTGAGAAGCTGGATATGTCACACAACCAGGACAGACTTTACCCTTGGGTAGACAAGAACCCTATTACCTCCTACCACACCCTGGGCCACACGTTTTATGACAAAACCTCTCAAATTATTGTTTCAGGTAAGCATTTGGATGCATTACTTCTCAATTTTAGTTATTTACAGTTTAAAATATGCAATTCTGCAAATGAATATCCTTGCTTTGATTTCATAGACCATGCACAGGAACCGCAGCTTAGCATCACTGGTATTCCAAGGGTGGGAGAGCAGAGCAGAGTGTCCTGCAATGTGCGCCATACATGTATCTCTGCTCCCCCGATCCTGGTCCTGGATGGTATAACTGGAGCAGACCACATTATGGACACTCTGGTATCTGATGGGATTTGGGAAAGGAAAGTAGAGCGAAACTGGACTGTAGAAGAGGAGGCCCAAAGTGTGAAGTGCTCTGTTAGCTACCGTGGTGGCCAGACAGCCACAAGTGAGCTCAGGCTGAATGTTGAATGTGAGTACAATTTAAGACCATGTGTTACTGGAATTAAAATGTTTACATATAAGACTCACTATCACGTTTCTGCTTAGGTCCGTATGAAAAAATCAAAATGACTCAGCAGCCAGGCGAGGCAACGGAGGGTGTGGCAAAGAGTGTAATCTGTTCTGTTTCGTATAAGTGCAAGAAAAATACGCCAACCATCGTATGGAACTACAAAGACATGCAGAGTTCGTTCCAGACCAAAAAGATCTCCAGCGATACCTATAATGCTGTGTCAAATCTAACCTTTATTGGCACTCTTGGGGATGACAATAATTCTTTGACTTGCACCGCTCAGTTTATTACTGGAGAGACCTCAGACTCTGCAACCATTCATATAAAAAGTGAGTTCCTAAAAGTCATACACAGTGATCACTTAAAGCAATAGTTAATGTCCATACATTATCTGTCCATAATGACATGTTATATCACCTTTGTTCATCAGTACATAAGCTTAAGTGCAAAAGCAGTAAAAGTGCAAAATATCAAACTTTTGCTCTATGATAAAATAACATTCGAAGATTTTAATTGATAATTGCTTGCTACCATTTTTTCCAGAATATGAGAAACCAGTTGAAGAAGTAGATCCGCATGAAAAAGACAGTGGGTGTACCTTTCAGTTCTCTCCAAACTCATCTTGCTGCCGTGTTATGTCACAAGTGGACTGATTTCTACAGGCATCCCATCATGGCTTGTTTCTCTCTTTACAGCATTCCACGTTCTTGCTGCTGACGTCCCTTTCAGACTCAGCGCCCTGACACGCTCCTGTGTGGTGATTCCCTGCAGCTTCCAGTTCCAGGAGGATGTGCCTCTCACACGTGGCATCTGGTCCAAAAAAAACGGGGGGCATCGTCTTCCATAACGGCCAGAGCCGAGTGCTTGACCACTTCAAAGGCCGCACAAAAATATTAGGAGAGCTGAGTGAAGGAAACTGTACATTAGAGATTGATGACATCAAACCCTTTGACAATGGGCCCTTCTGTTTCCATGCAGAGAAAGGAAATGACAAATACAGATTCAACAATAGCTGTGTATTTATTGTTATGAAAGGTCTGGAATCAATTCGTATTCAGCTTCTTAAAATGTGCCAATCTACTTACTTGTATGCTTTCTAATCACCAACAGTACTCTGTTTTGTATTTCACATTTTCAGCTTCCCCAGAAAAACCAGTGATGACCTCAGTTCCAGCAGAAGTCGATGCTGGCTCAACGATTACTGTCTCGTGTTCTGTGATGCACACATGTCCATCACATCCTCCAGTGCTCTCATGGAGTGTCCCTAGCCTCACCAGTGAGGTCATACACACCTCAATGCAGCAGGGCATCTGGCAGACAACCTCCACCATCAGTTTCATGGTTGCAGGAGGAGACGGAGTCAAAAACCTAACTTGTACTGCCATCTCCTGGCGTGGCAAGCAACAAGCCAACACAGTAAAGCTGACTGTAAAGGGTTAGACCACATAATTCTTCTGTTCTGTATATGTCTTGTACAGATGCGTATTGCCACCACATCAGAAAACAATGTTTTTCACGTTAAAACAGCTATTTTCATGTTATTATGACATACAAACTTATCACATTATACAAGCAACTTTTCTTCTTATACAAGCAACTTTTCTTATTATAACAATATACTATTTATCCTGTTATAACATGTTATAACAGGATGATTTACATTGTTATAACAGCACATTATAACAATATATGATTACACAATATCACATAATAGGATGAAACATTTAATAAGTTCACATTACATTATAACACATTATAGCATGATAAGCTTGTGTGTCACAATAACATGAAAATATTGTGTTATAACGTGAATAATATCCTGTTATAACAAGAAACTTTTTTACTTTTCGCATTTGCTTTTGCTTTTCTGGCATGGCAATACCCTGACGTAGCCTTGCAATTATATCATATATTGAGTTGTGTGTTTTCCTGAATGTATTTGCATGAGCCTCAAATATTCCTACATCACCAGGATCACTAATGTACCAGTTAAGAAGCTCTCTACCAGTATCCATTCCAGTGTCAATTCTCCTGATTGCAATCATCCTAGCTGCAGTGTTTGGAGTGTTCATTTATAGGAAAAGGTAGTGTAAATACACATACATTCAAAAAGTGCCAATGTTTCAGATGGGTACTATTATAAATGCTATTAATGCTTTTAGTTGAATGTAGTAAAGTAAAATTTGTCATTTATCAATGAATGTTTTATTCAACCTACAGGAAGCGCACTGACGACTCGCCACCACCTCGACCAGAGAAAAGGTATGTAGGTAGGAATGCATAATGAGTAATGATGACATAACTGATGACTAGGTTTCAGTCTAGACTCTAAACTGAAACCTAGTCATCAGTCTGTCATCTAGTCATCAGACTCTAGAGTCTAGAAACGCTTCACGCTTCAAGGAAATGAACATTTATAAGAAATGGTTACTGTACACAGTTAGATGTGGTCGGTCAAGGCTCTGTTCTTTGATGTTGAATCTGAGGAGCATTGAGGATTATTAGAAATAATCCCCCTTTAACAAATGTAAATAAACACTAGACCTTAGTTACATCAACAATACCAAAAATTGTAGCATATCAGCAGAATAATAGTAAATAAAAGATAGCTTTAATGATTGTGAAGCAAGGAAAAAAACAATTGATGCTATCTTATTCATTAAGGCACACATGCTGTATTTACAATGTAAATCTCTGCAATTCAAACTTTCACAGGCGATCACTATGGGATAGATTATCCAGGTAAGCTTTACAAAAAACTGCCTTAAGACAAGTTTTTTTGATAAAGTCACTCATGAGCTGTAATCTGTGTCTTACTTAAAATAATTCCTCTTAATCCAAATGTCCAGGAGATACCCCGAAGGCAGGGAGAGACCCCCAAGGCCGGAAAAACGGTTCGTCAGCAGACTGCTTGTTTGTTCCAAACTGAAAAAATAAAGTCAGCTGTTTCTGACAAATAGTAACACTTTGCTTTCCATACAGGGGGTCCATTTGGAGTCGATTCTCCCGGTAAGAACACCCAACTGTTAAAATTCGCTTTTAATCCCCAGATGAAGTACCTTGTGTTTACATTTCTAACTTTTTCAGGGGAGCAAGGGACGACGGTGTCAAGTGGCAAAATGAGAGGAGACCCAGGTGGGTGTTCCTCGGTGCTGTTGGCTTTAGATTTTACCATTCAAGCTGTTACAGTTTCTTTCTAACACTTTAATACTTAATTGACGTAATTCTTATAAGAAGTCATTCTGGAGCAGATTTTCAAGGTACCAGTTTTAACCTTCTGTTACGTGATGAATTAATGTGAAGAAATACCCGACATAAACTATATGAAAATATGAACGCAAATAAAATATTTTTTGCACTTGCAGACGCCAAGATGACTCTGTGAACCTCAGTGTTGGCTATTCGTAAGTGTCTATCAGTGGCCCTCTTCTACTTCAAATGGCCCTAATTGTTTAGCACAATAACTGATATTGTGTGATTCCCTCTCTAACCTATAGACACAACAGCACCGCGGTCAAATGTGACACTCAATTCTCCAAACAACGCTTTCCATCCCCAAAGGAGTGAGTTTTACTCAGCTGTCCTTTTACTCTTGTAACTGACATATTGTTTCATTAAGTTGTACATTAATTATCCACTTTCTTTTATATATCTGTTTGATCTAGAAACCGGAGACCTCCTCGCTCTGCCAGGCCTGAGGTTAGTAGTGCTGTGGTGAGTGGAAATAAATATGATGTAAAAGAGTAGGTTCTCATCTCATGTTCTCCACTACCCATTAGGTTATAAGTGCTGAGTCTAACTAGATTCTTGAGGACATTTCGCCTCTCATCAAACGATTCTTAAGTTCTGAATTAAGGTGCCAGTATGATTCCATTGAAGTGCTTGTTGGATGGTTGAACAATGCCTGAACCCCCCCCTTACAGATTTCTCAGGTTGGAATAGGGCCAATCTAGCTAAATCTCTATCTTTTTATTTACTTTCCATAACCAAAAATCCAAAACCACACCCTTTGGATAAGAGTTAAAATGTCGTCAATAATCCTATCACTTAGCACTATTAGCTCCTGTGGGTAGTTTGAAATAATGAATATCCATATTGTATTGTAGCAGTGCTGTACATTTTACACTTTAACTTGTGTATAAAGATATGTTTATATATATATTTATATATAGATATGTTCTTAATGATATTATATGTTGTATGTAAATATGTTGTATGTAGATTTGAAGTTGTAACAAAAGTAATTTCCCCCTGGGATTATTAAAGTATTTCTGGTTCTGATTATGATTCTGATTATGCACTGCCTTCCAGTATACTGTGTCTTTTATTTTGTGAAACATAAAACATAAAGCTGCAGAGAACAATTGGAGATTGTAACTGATTCCAGTTTCCTTCAATTTGTTGCAGGATAGCCTGTATGGCAACATTTAAGTTCTTCAAGATATCTTGCAAAAATCTCGTGCTTCCAGGACCATGTTGCTGTTATCATTTTACATTAATATACATGCTTAACATTACATGCTTGTTTCTGTGTGGGAGAAGTGATGTCGGCCTTGTATTTAAAACAATTTACTCAATCATAAAATATATAAATATAAAATATATCAGCTGTCGCTTAACTGAATTTGTTCACCTGTTAAATAAACATAATAAATACTTAGTACAAACTCCACTGTGATTTGATTATTTTTTCTCTAAACACTTACTACTGTATTACAGTTCAAGCAAAAAGATCACAGACATCAGACTTCAAGGATTCATAAAATACATTTTTACACACATTATCACATTATGAAGGGTGGTTTTAAAGAAAATCTTTCACATTTGTTCCTACTTGTGAGTATAGTGAATGTATCGTGCAATAACCATAGTCTATACAATAGCTCCACTATTGAAAACAAAACATACATACATTGAAATACAGCGGGAAATAATTATGTGTGAGTGTGAACACAAGGAATATAGGAATGGAGAACTTCCCTACAACATTAAAATTAAAATCTCACCATCCATGCAGAATTATCCCATTTAAATCAACAACTCTTTTGTATTTAAGCTGCAATTAAAGAATCCATAGACAAAAGTAAAAATTTCCAATTATATTCATTGTTTTTAGTAGAAAAAAAAATTCTTGAAAGGTATTGAGGATTTCATAAACTGCCTGTTATATAACATTTGTCCACTCGATGGGGGTACACTGCTTATAGTTATTTCCCACAAAGCGTCCCCATCTTCAGATGACAGTTGTACATGATGAATACGAAGTTAGAAATGGGAACAGACTGAACAGTTGAGTTATGACAGACTTCATAAGCTAACAAGGTTAACATGGGACTGTCATATATTTTACAGCCATATTTTCTTGCCTGCACTAAATCTAAAAACATTTAGAAATAAAGCTTCCCTGAATCATCCTAGAGACACTACAGGTGAATAGGGTAAATATCTATCTAATAGATCTGACTATGAAACTTCCCTAGTTGAATACATACATTAAGAAAATTCATTTTTGTGTTACAAGTTTTCTGAAGTTTTCTGTTTACATATGCAAATGAGGAATTGTTGATGAATGCTAACTTTTGGTGGATTTTGGAGAATTTTACACACACAAATGGGCAAAGTGTAATAAAATAAAACACATAAATGTGTATTTTGGGCATTTACTTTCAAATAGCCTGAAAAAAGACAGGCACTGGTCAAAATTGGCCAATTTTACAACTGTATTTTTCTAATCACTTAGTTGTCAGTGTGATTTTTGTCATAATATAGACCCTCAACAAAAGATTCTCATGGCTTGATTCAATTAGTTTTGCTTTCAAATATTCCCTTTTTCAGGGCTTTTACATTTGGGGTGAGAGAAGTGATCATCATCCCATAAAAGTAACCCAAGTGGCAGAGAGTGCGTCTACGACTCAGTCTATGTAGGCTAGGTCATAAAGAGAGGCATCAGTATCAAATTAAGATTGTTTCACAACTAGTTACAAACTTATTTTTAGCAGGTTTAAAACTGGTAAAACTCCTCACAAGACTTCAACCATCTGGCTCTGGAATAAGTAATACAGACTGTGGGCTTAAATCAGACTTGGACCTCCGGCCAAGGACCGCCCAAAACAGCATATGTCAGTTGTCTGGTGTTGTGCTTCATCCTGGTTCACCTGATTATAACTGGCATTTAAAGGTTATATGTATGAGATTTTGAACATTAATATAGCAGAAAACAGCATAAACTTAAAGGTTTAAGTTAAGTTTGTATTTTAAATTTTTTAATGAGACTGAGAAAGGACAAAAAACTACACTAAGAAGAATTGTAAGAAATGTGTTTGCTTTTCGTCAGTAACTTCAAAATATTTCAGATAATTCCAATTAAAATTAGGTTTCAGGTTAATATTAGCACACAGATGAAAAATTGCGAAAAAATGTTTTTTACATTCTTCAGAAAAACAGATAGCAATTATTCTATGCAAGACCTTTGCTCTTATCTTTATAGGCAACATGCAAATAATAATAATACAAATAAAGAAATAAGCCAGTTACAAACTGTATAAGGCAGGAAATAAAGGGAAATTATAACTTTACTAAATTCTATTTTTACACGAAACTTGCAAAACGTTCTACTCTCTCACTCATCGGTTGAAAGGATAAGGAAAAGGGTGTGAGCACTATGAGGCTATGTGAAGATAAGAAAAACTAAGCTGCAATGCTGCCGTCTCCACCAGTTAAGAGAACATGACCAGAGAGATCAGTGGTGTCACCAGGAGCAGGAGGCCAGCACTTATGCTGCTGGCGCTGTTGCAGTAGTCACCCTTGCAGCAGCTAATGTCTCCTCCAATGACTCCTTTAAACAGTGCATTTTTCGTATTTGAGCAGATCTGCTTGGAGGCAGAGCCCTTTGTGATTATCGTTTCACCACCTACATTCACTGAGAGAACGAAAATAATGTTAGTGTGTGAGCTTAAAGTTTTAATACATCTGCTTGAATCACAGAAAAATCGCTCAGAGCTGTGGAAAGGTTGGAAAGAGAGAGATGTGTAGGCCTGATACCTGTTTTTGAGATGCAGTGGTCCTCATTCCCCAAGCAGTTCACAGTTGTGGTGCACACGTTTCCATTGCAGTGGAAGCACTTTTTTCCATTGGGTTCAGATTCACTGGGCTCTGTAACATAAAACACACATTGTTCATATTGATTGAGAAAGTCGAGTGGGGTGGAGAGGTGACGGTAATGCACTTTTACTGTCAAATTATAGTTTGAGGATTTTGAAATTCAAGGAAATTATGGGAACATAATTTGCCTATGAAACAAGATTAACTTGAACCTGGAGATTCTCACAAACACACACACACACACACACACACACACACATACAGGTACAGTGGCAGCTGGAGGTATTAAGATAAGATATTCCTTTATTTGTCCCACAGTGGGGAAATTCCAATGTTGCAGCAGCAAAGTGGATAGGGAAAAAACAGTATAAAAACAGTAAGAGTAGGGAAATAATAAAAACACTATGTACAAGAGAAAAAACAGTAAGAATCCACAAACAACAGATAACACAAATAGTACAAATAGTAGCAGCAGCAATTGCACATGGGCAATAGATTGCACAGTGAATATTGCACATTGTTATTGTCAACAATGGGGGGGGGGGCTACTGGGAGCAGTGCTGGTTGTTATACAGTCTGACAGCAGCAGGAAGGAAGGAAGGACCTGCCCTGATGGTAATTTCCCTCATCCTGGCTCGTCTTGGAATTTGAAACTTATTTCTCTAACAATATCTGTTCCAAACATATTGTCTCAAGTTCTGATACATGGACTTCATCATCAGTCCACAATACTTACATTAACCATGCAGACATGTCACAAGACATGATTATACAACTTATATACAGTATTGAATACAGTGTAATATACATATACAAAAACAGCTCTCAGTGCAAACAAAATCTAATCTAAATAGAAACAGACAATATAAGTGAGTTACCAGGAGCAGTTTCGGTGTTGCAGAGATTGGAGTTGCAACACTTGCTGGTAATCACATTTCTGGTAAGTCCAAAGTTGACTGAGCCCTCAGCACAGTCTTCATTCAAAACACAAGTTTTCATCTGGATATCAGAAAGTTTTGAACCACCTGCAACAAAAGAGTAGCCTTTGTAAAATGGGACAGTGCAAAACTGTTCACAATAGAAAAAACAATGCTCTTAAAAAAAAAAAACATACCTGCATATGAAGTGATTCTCAGCACACTACACTGATATCCCACTGAAGGGCATGTTTTGAATTCGCATGTTGCTGTGCTTCCTGGTAAACACTTATAACAAATCAGGCTGTAGGCTGATAAAACACAAAACAGTTAAACTCAGTTAAAAACAAAATCTACATTTCTTTTCTTTAAGGGGTGGACTAAAGTATTGTAACACCATAACTCTGAAGTAAATTAATCAAAACTACTATTATTATGAGAAATTATAAGCACAGATACAAATATGAGTTATACAGTATGAGGCTGGTTGTCATGTGCAGTACTGACATGCATGGGGTTTTTCTTGCTCTTGTTTCTTTGTTTCTTGTTTTTTCAACTACAACTAAATAGAATAGAGGCTATCTGTGCCCAAACTGCAATTGATGAACAAAGAGGAATAGCAGTAACGAACAGCAAAATAACATGCACGATGTGGACATACTCTCTTTTGACATGTAACCTAAATGACCCATGTCTGCAGCATTTGTAAAGGTAAATGTGGTAATTGATAATTACAATCCCTCTTTTATTAAAGAATAAACTGTAAAAAAACGGATAATAGAACAAAAACTTGCCTTCAGAGAGAAGCACAGTCCCAAAGATCAGAGTAAGGAGATGCATTTTGCAATGGCGGGATGCAAATGAGTTTAGTTTGATCTGTTGCGGCTATAAGTATCCCTCCTGAGAAGGAGTTGTCGGTTTTCATAAACTGCCTGTTATATAACATTTGTCCACTGGATGGGGGTAAACTGCTTTAAGTTTTTCCCACAAAGCGTCCCCAACTTCATATGACAGTTGTACATGATGAATACGAAGCTAGAAATGGGAACAGACTGAACAGTTGAATTATGACAGACTTCATAAGCTAACAAGGTTAACATGGGACTGTCATATATTTTACAGCCATATTTCTTGCCTGCACTAAATCTAAAAACATTTAGAAATAAAGTTTCCCTGAATCATCCTAGAGACACTACAGGTGAATAGGGTAAATATCTATCTAATAGATCTGACTATGAAACTTCCCTAGTTGAATACATACATTAAGAAAATTCATTTTTGTGTTACAAGTTTTCTGAAGTTTTATGTTTACATATGCAAGTGAGGAATTGTTGATGAACGCTAACTTTTGGTGGAATTTCGAGAATTTTACACACACAAATGGGCAAAGTGTAATAAAATAAAACACATAAATGTGTATTTTGGGCATTTACTTTCCACTAGCCTGAAAAAAGACAGGCACTGGTCAAAATTGGCCAATTTTACAACTGTATTTTTCTAATCACTTAGTTGACAGTGTGATTTTTGTCATAATATAGACCCTCAACAAAAGATTCTCATGGCTTGATTCAATTAGTTTTGCCCCTTGTTCATATCATAGTTTAGCAGTGCTCTGTATCTGTCTGTCTTTTTCTTGTTTGGTACAGTATACCTTCTCTAGTTAAGTGCCTTAAGTTGTTTCTGGGTTAAAATAAATAGCAGTATTTGTACTACTATTATGAAAGCTAAATATCAGAACTGTAAGTGTGACAGATAGAATAATGTGTAATACCAGTAAGTCAGAGCAAGTAATAGAGGAACACTTAATGGGCTCATCTTTAGTATTTTTTTAATTTTCATGTTATATCATAGTTTATGGTTATAATGGTTATTGTGCGTTGTAGCAGTTACAGCACAGTACCTTCGTGTTTTCTTATGTTTTATGTGCCAAACGTCTAACACCAGCTAGTAAGAGTGGTTGTAGTTACCAGTGGTCTCCAGCAGGGGAGCGCAAAACTGTTGATCTATGTTACGGTGCACCTGTCCATGTATCTTTCTTTCAAATACTCCCTTTTTCAGGGCTTTTACATTTGAGGTGAGAGAAGTGAGGCTGGTGTCCCAAAATGGAGGAAGAAACCCCACTTCAATCATCCCATAAAAGTAACCCAGGTGGCAGAGAGTGCGTCTACGACTCAGTCTATGTAGGCTAGGTCATAAAGAAAGGCATCAGTATTAAATTAAGATTGTTTCACAACTAGTTACAAACTTATTTTAGCAGGTTTAAAACTGGTAAAACTCCTCACAAGACTTCAACCATCTGGCTCTGGAATAAGTAATACAGACTGTGGGCTTAAATCAGACTTGGACCTCCGGCCAAGGACCGCCCAAAACAGCATATGTCAGTTGTCTGGTGTTGTGCTTCATCCTGGTTCACCTGATTATAACTGGCATTTAAAGGTTATATGTATGAGATTTTGAACATTAATATAGCAGAAAACAGCATAAACTTAAAGGTTTAAGTTAAGTTTGTATTTTAAATTTTTTAATGAGACTGAGAAAGGACAAAAAACTACACTAAGAAGAATTGTAAGAAATGTATTTATTTTGCTTTTCGTCAGTAACATCAAAATATTTCAGATAATTCCAATTAAAATTAGGTTTCAGGTTAATATTAGCACACAGATGAAAAATTGCGAAAAAATGTTTTTTACATTCTTCAGAAAAACAGATAGCAATTATTCTATGCAAGACCTTTGCTCTTATCTTTATAGGCAACATGCAAATAATAATAATAAAAATAAAGAAATAAGCCAGTTACAAACTGTATAAGGCAGGAAACAAAGGGAAATTATAACTTTACTAAATTCTATTTTTTACACGAAACTTGCAAAACGTTCTACTCTCTCACTCATCGGTTGAAAGGATAAGGAAAAGGGTGTGAGCACTATGAGGCTATGTGAAGATAAGAAAAACTAAGCTGCAATGCTGCCGTCTCCACCAGTTAAGAGAACATGACCAGAGAGATCAGTGGTGTCACCAGGAGCAGGAGGCCAGCACTTGTGCTGCTGGCGCTGTTGCAGTAGTCACCCTCGCAGCAGCTAATGTCTCCTCCAATGACTCCTTTAAACTGTGCATTTTTCGTATTTGAGCAGATCTGCTTGGAGGCACAGCCCTTTGTGATTATCGTTTCACCACCTACATTCACTGAGAGAACGAAAATAATGTTAGTGTGTGAGCTTAAAGTTTTAATACATCTGCTTGAATCACAGAAAAATCGCTCAGAGCTGTGGAAAGGTTGGAAAGAGAGAGATGTGTAGGCCTGATACCTGTTTTTGAGATGCAGTGGTCCTCATTCCCCAAGCAGTTTACAGTTGTGGTGCACACGTTTCCATTGCAGTGGAAGCACTTTTTTCCATTGGGTTCAGATTCACTGGGCTCTGTAACATAAAACACACATTGTTCATATTGATTGAGAAAGTCGAGTGGGGTGGAGAGGTGACGGTAATGCACTTTTACTGTCAAATTATGGTTTGAGGATTTTGAAATACAAGGAAATTATGGGAACATTATTTGCCTATAAAACATGATTAACTTGAACCTGGAGACGCTCTCTCACAAACACACACACACACACACACACACACACACACACACACACACACACGCATGCACACGCACATACAGGTACAGTGGCAGCTGGAAGTATTATGCCCTTGGGCTCCTCTATAGCAGATGGTAATTTCCCTCATCCTGGCTTGTCTTGGAATTTGAAACTTTTCTCTAACAATATCTGTTCCAAACATATTGTCTCAAGTTCTGATACATGGACTTCATCATCAGTCCACAATACTTACATTAACCATGCAGACATGTCACAAGACATGATTATGCAACTTATATACAGTATTGAATACAGTGTAATATACATATACAAAAACAGCTCTCAGTGCAAACAAAATCTAATCTAAATAGAAACAGACAATATAAGTGAGTTACCAGGAGCAGTTTCGGTGTTGCAGAGATTGGAGTTGCAACACTTGCTGGTAATCACATTTCTGGTAAGTCCAAAGTTGACTGAGCCCTCAGCACAGTCTTCATTCAAAACACAAGTTTTCATCTGGATATCAGAAAGTTTTGAACCACCTGCAACAAAAGAGTAGCCTTTGTAAAATGGGCCAGTGCAAAACTGTTCACAATAGAAAAAACAATGCTCTTAAAAAAAAAAACATACCTGCATATGAAGTGATTCTCAGCACACTACACTGATATCCCACTGAAGGGCATGTTTTGAATTCGCATGTTGCTGTGCTTCCTGGTAAACACTTATGACAAATCAGGCTGTAGGCTGATAAAACACAAAACAGTTAAACTCAGTTAAAAACAAAATCTACATTTCTTTTCTTCAAGGGGTGGACCAAAGTATTGTAACACCATAACTCTGAAGTAAATTAATCAAAACTACTATTATTATGAGAAATTATAAACACAGATACAAATATGAGTTATACAGTATGAGGCTGGTTGTCATGTGCAGTACTGACATGCATGGGGTTTTTTCTTGCTTCTTGTTTCTTTGTTTCTGTTTTTTCAACTACAACTAAATAGAATAGAGGCTATCTGTGCCCAAACTGCAATTGATGAACAAAGAGGAATAGCAGTAACGAACAGCAAAATAACATGCACGATGTGGACATACTCTCTTTTGACATGTAACCTAAATGACCCATGTCTGCAGCATTTGTAAAGATAAATGTGGTAATTGATAATTACAATCCCTCTTTTATTAAAGATTAAACTGTAAAAAAAACAGATAATAGGACAAAAACTTGCCTTCAGAGAGAAGCACAGCCCCAAAGATCAGAGTAAGGAGATGCATTTTGCAATGGCGGGATGCAAATGAGTTTAGTTTGATCTGTTGCGGCTATAAGTATCCCTCCTGAGAAGGAGTTGTCAGTTTTCTGCATCATCTTATCAGTCAATTGCAGCTTATTACATTTTTGGTGCAATTTCAATTTTCTTATCAAGTGGCTGCTCCATGGCAAACTGACCGTGTTTGCCCCTCACGGAGGAGAGGCTGTGGCAATGGTATGGTGAAACAACATGCAAGCCATTTATTTCAAATGAAAGAAGGCAATTTCAAACAAACTAATGAGGATTTTTATCAGCATGATTATTGTTATGAAGAGGTGGCTGCATTTTTATCCTTTGTTTTGTACAAAAAAATGAGTTTTAAATGCTAACTTTGGCGTATGTTGAGACTGTATTGGTTGATAAACTGTGGTGGTCTAAATATTAATTAGTGTTGCAACAAAAAAAAGTTGTGAGAATTACTTGTATTGACACCAATTTTCCTGACCTGTAAACAAAACAGTTTGAGTGAGGCTCCAATTCAGAAAAGTCATAAACATACAGTGGCACACACACACGCACATCATCAAGATGTTCCTGTATGATACAAGTTGGGCACTGAGCACTGCCTCTCTCTGCAGTAGAAATACAGATACCCTTTGCCTAATGTCCAATATTTATATTCTTGCAGTACTTTTACTTCCCTGCATTTTTTGTGCATCCCTGCAAAAAAAGAAACATTGTGTGTACTGTGCTATGCATTCAAAATAGATCAGTCACCTGTCACAGAATACACGTAACACATAACAAATTAAATTAGAGACAATTTTTTCAACTAAATAACCAAAGAATCTGAAGCCCATCTGCTTGTGACTTTTAGTTCCTGTAAATAGTCTGTCCAATCCACAGTATTGGAATACTAAGTAATATTCATATTGCAACAATGCTGTTTTCACAGCAGCCTGCTCCTTTAACAGTCCCCCAGGGCTGCTCCTTGGAAATGTCTATGATTGACCGTAAAAAAAGAT